AAAGTCCATTCTTTAAGTAGTAGTTTGTTCTGATTTCAAGTAAGCCCTGATAGCATTTACTCAGCAAACGTATTATAGATTACTATTTTTAGGCTTAATGTTCTGGTACATGGCTGAGTGCAAGAGATTATTTTACAGCATTAAAAACATGTCAAAGTAGCCTGTGGGGTTAAGAGGAGGGAGGAAAAAAAAAAACAGCAACCCTTATATGTGATTTGCCAGAAACCAAAGCATGTCAATGCAGTCATTAGGTACTTGCACATTTCATTGCATCAAAACAATCTACAAGATATATTGCCATTTAAGTCTCAGTAGCTACATTTTTTTCTTTCTTTTGCAGAATTTTTTTTCCCCTTTCTTTCTTAGGCTGTTGATGAGACTTAGCATAGGTACTCCCAAGTTACTGTGCTTGCTTTGAATATTTTGGTAATCGTGTAGAAAAGGAGTCAGGGTCACCATTCGTTCAAGTTTACCAGAAAATACTATCCATGTCCATGGAAGTGGAGAACTATTATGAGATAGTGAAATCTGAATAGGCTTTGGTAAGCAGAATAACTAATCTCATACTGTGGACCTTACCAGTCATGCACGGTATATTTCAAGCTCAATTAATGGCACAAGAGAGTAAAACTTCGTAGTCAAACCCAAAGCATCTTTACTCTGTGATTCTGGTGCATTCCAGTGGGAAAGCATGCAGAAACATTTTACCAAATACTGTGTTATACTTGAAAAGCAAACAAGGAAGTGCATATTATTTAAAAAAAAGGTCAGTTTACTTTGATTTTTTTTTTTTTTTTTTCTTTTCTGAGTTGTAGCAACTGTATTTGCAGTAGTCTAAATTTGGTATTATAAAAAAAAATGTGTTAAAGCCTCTTACAAAGAGGGGAAACTGCTTTAATTCATAGTTTCTGTGTTTATATCAAACTGTCATTGCGTTCTGCATGTATCTTGTCTTGCAGGAAGATCGGATACAAAGAGTGGTCTCAAACTTCTGAAATCATATACATGTAATCAGCCGTACGGTTAAAATAAGTGTAGGAATTGAAAGGAGTTTTTGTATATGTAACAATATATACATGTATATATGTACATATGTATGTGTATATATATAGCAATATATATGTATATATTACTGCAACAGTTAAATCCCCTTGGTGGAAAAATGTAATCAAAACTTGAGTCTTTGTAAGGTTGTATTTAGAATTATCAATTTTTGTATATATTTAAAGAAACAAGAAATAATAGTGATTTCTAGGGATAGTGACAAGCTATTGCAGCAGTAAAACTGAATTTCATCAGATGTTTTTAAACATACATTAATCTCTTTATAAGCTAGTGATCCACTTGAAGTGTTTCTGTAGGAGATTTGCATATGCTTGTAATTTTGTTCCTGAGACATTTTCAGTTTTTTGTTTGTGATTTGCATTTCACAGTCCTACAGTCTCCCTCAGGTAACTGTTGCAGTCACTGCAAGAATGTTTCTTTACGAAAATCAAATATATTCACCTTCTTTGCAGTCAGTATAGCAGTAATTTTTCCACATGGGATAATCCTTCTGTAACAGCTGGTGAAAGTGAGGCTTCCTTTGTGTTCAGCCTGTCTCCTCATAATAATCTAGGATGGTTAGTCTACATTTCTGGTAAAGCTTTGGCATATATAGGACAGTGCAGTCAATCATGCTGAGTTTGTTATTCAAAAAAGTAAGATTTTTTTTTTTTTTCCTCCCCACCCCCTCCGAGAAAATACCTAACTGTCTCAGAAGTTTTTAAACAAACTTCCAAATAGTCCAGAACAGCTACCTTAACTTCAAATCAAAGTGAAGGGGGTAGTAGGAATACTTTTAATAAGAAACCTTTAGTTATAGTTAAGCAAATCTAAAGATTTACTTAGATAAAGCTTTTCTTTTAGAGAACATTCTCTGTGTAAGTTCTGCAAAAATTTTCTGTATTCAGTGTATGTTTGTAAATGGAACACTTCATAGTGTTAGTGAGGTCAGGACTTGTGAGCTGTGTAGACAACTTCTCTTAAGGATATAAATGCCTTGTGCCTTAAATATAAGTAGTCCTCTGTGGTGCTAGGGCATGATCTTGTCAGAAGGGGTTGCTGTCTGTTTGGGATCCGTATGACCAATGATATGTTCCATAAAAATATTTGAGACACATTTGTATCAGCAGCAGCTGATTTAAGCATACTGCTGCATTATAGGACCAAAAGTGTACTAGATGAAGTTTTAAATTAAAATGAGAATTATGACTGAAACTTTGAGTTTTACCCTGGATCAGTAAGCTTTGTGTAAAATACTGGAAAAGGTACAGTACTCCTAGGGGCTTTTTAGTGTCTTAAGCAATGTATAGATTTGCAGCCTCAGTGGATTCTGTCTGATTTTTTTTCTATGTTTGACGTTATGTTTTCCTTAGGCTCTTGAATACTGGGATGATTTTTCATGATCAGTTTTGTTTTGGTGATTGAAGCTATTGATACCAATCAACCAGAGCCAACTAAAGTTATTGTACTTTCTTCATTGTATCCGACTTGTCGCTGTAGATACACTAGCCTGTTGTATGGCTAGAGGTTATGCTACAGCTACTTACAGGTCTAGTTTTATTTTTTTAGGCTTACAAAAAGTTGCAAATTGTGTAATAGCAAAGGATAGTGCTCTCTACCAAAGTTTATCGTGGTCAGCCCACAGAATTGTTTGTTGGATTATTTTAAAAATACATAAAATGAGTATTTTTGTTATGCTTTAAATAATACTTAGCTGCCTTACTATTGTAACCAGATTCTATATAAAACTAGACAATAAATATCTGTAAAACTAAAAGGCCTCATTATTCTCTTACCTTTCTTTCCATGCCATCAGTTTCCTTACAGAAATTAAGTGATAGCAGTCATCCTTCTTCGTGCTCAGTTTATCAGATCTTTTTATGTTCTTAAGCATTAATGCTGTTTCAACTGTAATGGATTGTTGCATTTTCTTCCTCTTGACCTTCTTTAAGAAAAGGAAAAAGTTTTAACTTCTCAGATTTACCCATCCTTCTACAAAGCTTGTTTTCTTACTGCTTCTCAAGACCTAGTTCTACTTAAATGTGTATCAAAAGCTGTTCCGTTTATACTATGGTATGCCTACTGTTGTCAGGGTTAAACTCCACGTGGGAGAGTACTTAAAATACACTTACTATGTTGTATTGATAATCATTTTGTATAAATAATTTCTTTCCTTAGTGAAAAGAGCTTTTTGAAATGCAGTCTTTACCAAGTATGTACTTTCAAACTTGATGATCACTGGCTTTGGTATTACATTGGTAAATAAATACAAATTTTCAGTATTTATGCAAAATTTCTTTTATAGTACCTGCTATTATTTGCTAAATAAAAATTTATCTTGCTGACAGAATGAGCAAGGCTATCTCACTTTGACTCTAGGAGACTTCATGCGAAATGTCTAGGTTTTTGAGCTACATATGTGTAGATGTGATATTGGTAGGCTAAATGTTTTTTCTAACAAAATCTATAGTGGTTTCACACTATGTAGGGAACAAGGTTAAACTTCACTAAGAAATACTAGATTTAGTTAATCTGTAGTTTGCAGATATCCAAATCTTCTACAACTTCAAGTTGGAAATACTATTACTGGAGACTCTACGCTCACCTAGTGTAGTCATTTTCCTCTGACATTTAATCTATGGATTCTCCCAATCATATTTCTGGAAACTGTATTGTTGTTCTGTATAATATGAAATGTGAAGATCTGATCTGTATATAATCAGTTTAGGCAAAGCTGTCTTAGATCTGTCTTGTGTGGTATGCTCTTCACCTAGTAATTTACTGCCTAAGCTTTCACTGCTGGTTGGGGTTCCCTACTACTCACACAGCCAGGTTTGCCCACAGAGGAAATCCCTAGGTAACTGAGGAAATGGAGTTAGTCTAAGCCCTGTTTACAGAAAAAATCTCTACTGAGGATGTCCACTTCAAAGATGGTATTGTACAGCCCATTAGCTTTCACATACTCAGGTCCTGCTTTCAATTTACCTGGAGTAATGTCTTTACCAAGGAGGTAGATTTGCTTAATTCTTATGGTAATATCAAAGTTCTGTACTTCTAGCAGGTAATACTTCCTTTGCACCTTTTGGGGAGTACAGAAATACTTTGGGTTTTCATTGTTTGATATTTTCATGCTACATAAATATATAAATTTCTATATAAAGTTCCCTTGAACATCACCCAATGGTTTCATTAATGCCTTCCTGTAGTAGTAGAGATGCTGGAAACAGAAATGGCACCAATCTTTTCTTACTAGTTAATCTCTTTGCCTTATTTGTACTCTCAGCTTCATTGTTTACTTTTCTCTCACCTTAAGACAGCAACTAAATTTCATTTAGTCAGTGTTTTTCTGCAGTAACATTTCATGTGGCATGTTTAATTACTCCATTCCTAATTTTATGAATACAAAAATGTTTCTGTATTTCTTGGGAAGACTTACTGGTAGATTTCTACACTTCCCTGTACCTCAAAACTGCCATTGCAACATTAGAATGCTTATTCAGGCTATTATCTTGTTTTCATCATCATCGTTCATCATTTATAAAAAAATCTTATAATTACTTAATTTCTTGTTTTACTTATGTTCTCAGCCCATGCTTGCCTCTTGTGTGAAACCACATACAAATCTCAAAATGCCATTCAAAACTTTGACTTAAAAATCCAATCAAGTAGATAATTCTTGTATGGACAGTGTATTTTTCCCAATAATAGAAAATTTTGGTTAGCAAAGCTCAAATAAGTGCTTGCAGTTATTCTCTGCATGTTGAAAACTACTTCAATACTACACTGAGGAGGATTTTTCCCCCCCTTAAACATGTCACTGAAATGAAGACAGTATTTTTAATGGATAATTAGTTTTTTCTCTAATTTCCTTTTACTGTCTAATGTCATTGAGGAAGGAGTAAGGATAAAATGATACTCAATTTCCACTGTTCTGTTTTTTCTCTTTTCTTGCATAGGCTATCCACTCTGTGGCTTGGCATCATGAAGGAAAACAATTTATTTGTAGTCACTCGGATGGTACCTTGACCATTTGGAATGTAAAATCTCCTGCCAAACCATTCCAGACAATCACTCCACATGGTAAGATGAAAATGGATACACACTCTTTTTGGCAGCTCTTAAAAGAGAGAGCTTATTTTTATTAGAAGTGTTTTGCTAAACCAGGTATTAAAAAATTCACTTGCAGTGTAAGTAAAAAAAACTTCATATCTGATAAATTTCATTACAAATAAAAAAGTCTTTATGAAACAAGAATCCAAATCAGTGCAGTTGTGTCTAAATCTCTGAACTTTAAGCTCACCTTTCACATAATGGCATTGATCTGAAAATTATCTAATGCATGTTTTACAGGGCTTGCTTTTTGCTTGACATTGCAATCCCATATGTTGTTTAAAATACATATAAGCAAGAATCTGTTTCATGTATAAATGCGTAGATTGCCATATAAATTCTTGTAAAGGTTTGTAACAGAGTAAGACGAGCATCTGGTAAGACGTTCCTACTTCTGAGAAGTCTTGCATTAATATAGGAAATTAACATTACATGTTGTTCTACTGTGAAATATCCTGCTGCTCTTCAAAAAAAGTTCTATACAAATGCCAGGTTTACATTGTGTGCATTGTGTCTAAGTCATGTCTTAGTAACTTATTTATCTCAGATTCTTAAGTGTGAATGTAACAGTAAGGATAATGTATGAGGTTACAGTTTTAGTACAAGATGATATAGTTAAGCATTCTCTGGTTTACCTATCTGAGTCTTCACCAAGTCCACGTTTACTGTGTTGGCTGTGGACTGGTGTAGGAAAATAAAGCTGTGGATTTCTGTGTGATCCTGTAGCAGTCAAAACAGAAATACCTGACTGCTACTGTAGTAGTAAAACTCGTTAGACAAGACTAACTTTATTTTAATATGCTTTGGCCTCTTAATAAACATTTTTATTTTGATCTTAGGCTGCAAATTACATTTTCTGCAGAACTTTATAGTTGTGTCAGACCTTATCAGTGTTCAAATAAAAAAAATTTCATATTTATACATTACTCTTAATTTCTACTGACTTTGTGGGAAATTGTATTTGTAGAAGTTTTATTTGCTAATAATGCACAGCAGAGAAAGAGTGTGCCTTCATGTTCAAACTGAAGTCTTAACCATTAAGGATAACACTGAGAATAAACCTCATTTTACTTGTAAACCGATCAATTTTAATTGCAAAATGGTAGACATGAGAAATTTTAAATCTTAGTGTTACTTAAAAAAACTTTTTTAGCCAAGGATTATATTCTTGAAAACAAATATTCTACAACAATTTAAAAAGAAAAAAAAAAAAAAAAAGAAAAAAAAAGTACCCTAAACCTATATATTCTAGGTTGGTGTATTGCGAGTTTTATTAAATGTTTAATGATAATTATTCAAAGGCACACTCTATAATTGTCAGAGGTGTTGAATGTATGTTAGTATGAATGTTCTACTTCGCAAGTTGCATAGTGAATTTCATAATTTATCATCATGTTATGAAACTATAAGGTTAATATAAGAAAATAATTCGTTTTAGGAAAACAGCTGAAGGATGGAAAGAAGCCAGAACCCTGCAAACCTATCCTTAAGGTGGAATATAAAACAACTAGAGCTGGGTAAGACTTGTTTTGTATGCAAAATTAACATACGTAAAATAAATGCAGCTCTCTAGCAATGTACTGTTTCCCAGTTGTTGAGTTACATATCCTGATGGCACTGAGCTATGGTAAAACAGCTGAAATAATTTTGGGAAATCAAGTATTGCTGAATAAACTATATAGTAACTTGTTCACACATGTTTTTATACAGACCTTAACTTAGGTCTGTATTAGGCTAATGCATTATCTACGTGCTTCTTCCATGTTACTAAACTCATGTATTTTTGCTAAATCTTTTGAGAATATTAAAGAAAAAAGGGACAATAAAACCACAAGACACTAAAGCACAAACCTGAAAAACTAAACTTTGTAAAATAGTAGCCTGATACAAATATTCTAAATTCTGAATAAGTGTTCCTCCCCCAAAAATGTTACTGACAGAAGCTTTTCTGATAGTGAGGTAATTTATGCTGTGAATTGTGCCTAATTATGCACATTGAGAATGTAACAAAGCAGTAATTGTGAGAAGAGGCTCAGATGGAATTACAGTATCTTGAGTAGCATGTTTTGTTACCAAGACTGCAATTAGGGTTGAAGGATTTCATGATCTGTGGAATTTTTTTTATTTAGGATTCTAAAGTGCTTTAAAGTGTTGGAGTAAAAAATGCAATATAAAGATAAAATATTAATGGAAACCTGTTCAGCTATTTACAAACGTTGACTTTTTTCTTCTTTTAGACTTTATTTTGTGATGTTTCTGTATTTTTTTTATTTGCTTTCTAGGCATTCAAATCAATAGAAGGTTGTTATTTAATTGATGTGATGGAGTTTTCTACTATATACTAGTATACCCATACATACCAGTGGCTCTGTATAATTTAAGACCATGGCTAATTCCCAGATGTATGAACATCTGTGATCAGTTGGAAAGCCATATTTTACTTGCAGCAGTCTACATCTGCATATTCCTTTCTCAACTGAAATGTCTAAAGCTGATCTAAAGAAAGATATAGATAACCAAAAGTAGTCTGGGCTTCAACAAGTTACAATTTCTGCAATCAAACCCCTTCTGTTATAAATAGTCATTCATTCCGATGGAAAAGATTAGTTTGAAGCTTGTTCTATGCAATTATAATATTACAATGTGAAAACTAGTTGACTTTTCACAGAGTTTAAAGATGATCTTATTCTAGTATAATTTCTAAGAATACATAGCTCTTTTGGGAGACTAGTTTTTTCCTAGTGTGTGCTTTTTTCTGTTACACCTCACTTTCCAGTGTTCATCCAAACTGAATGTTTTAATGTGTTTCAATTTAATATTTTCTCTCTAATATTTTCTCAATCTTCAGTGTAATTCTAAATCTGTAGCCATTGTGATACTCTTCTAGAACTTTAATTAAAAAAAAAACCAAAACCAAAACCAAACAAAAAAACACCAAACAAAACAACAACAAAAAACCCAATACAGTTTGCACTCTGGTGTAGCAGCACACTGAAAATCTCCATTCACTTACTGTTACATGTACTTCAGCTCACACTGCAATTTTTCAGTTTCCGTTGTAATCTTACAATAATTATAAGGCAAAGCAGAATTACCTTTCAGTGCTTAAAATTTTGATAGTTTCTCTTTACCAATTGAAATGGATTAGGTATGAATATGATACAATTTTGACTTTTAGCTAAAACACTGTCATTTGTTGTTCATGGTTTAATTTCCGTAGCACAGAGGAGAATCGTTCTTGGACAGGACCAAATTTTTCTAGCTACTGAGATATAAGAAATAAATCAAACTTGCTTCTATAGCAGTCTGCTCTAACCATTCTTCAAAAACAAACCAAAAAACCCTACAAAAGAAAACAAATCCAAAAAGCTTACAGTGTATTTAAGAGGTACTGCTTAATGTAAAATTATTTCACTTATTTATTGTGAAACACAGCGAGTAACTATTTCATGTTCACTTTTTCCATGTTCCATATGGCACTCTAACGTACTTCTGTCACCCTTTCTTTCTTGCTCATGCCTTATCCGGAGTGGTCTAGGATCTAGGTTTGTTTCAGTATCTCTTCATGTGGAAAGCACTTCATTGATGTGATATCACTTGTTATCTTTACTGCTAATTCTAATACACTTTGTTTTTTTTGAGAAAAGGTGTCCAGAACCACACAGAAGGAACATAACTGATTACAACCTGTAGCAGGGGTGACAGATACTATTCTTTCTGCTGTTGCAGCTTTTATTAATACTTTCTCACTGTTTTCTTCCATTATGTTCTCCATATTGTGAAGCTGGAGTTGGGAAAACAGGAGGACGTGAGGGTTTTTCTGGTTCTTGCAGACTACTTATCTCTTAAGTTCATGTCTTTTGTGTTGTTTTTTTTGGAGATTTTTATTTTTTTGAGTTTAGTGCAGATAATGCCAGTGAAGTCTCCAAAGCTGAAATTGTTTACAGTAATATATCTGTATCTTTATTTCTGTGACAATATATGTAGAAAGGTTACCATCGATAGCAGTCCTGTATCTGGGCTAGGGGGTTGAAAAGGCAAGTTCTTGATATATTCCTTGAGCAAGCTGGCATAATGTCATTGTTCTCCAGTTCATCTAAATACTCCATCTCTTTGAAGTGTGATGAGTTCCAAATGTAGGTTACATTTTGAGCTTGCTGAAGTGGTTTCCATGTTGCCTTTTGTGCATACTTTTCTGTATAAAATTAATGTAGAGAATCTCTTGAGCTTCCTAATGTCATTCCCACCCCTCCAGATTCAGTCCCTTACATTATTTGTTCTGGTTGATATTAGCATTATGGCAAAATTGCCCAAGCTTATTCTTTGCTACTAGAGTTCTGTGTAATAGATTTTACAGTGCAAATGTGTCCCTGTAAAACGTAATCAAAAAGGGTATTGGTAGTTAATGCAGCTGTCATTAACTGTAGAGCAGTACCTCTTAGCATGATGAATGTATATAATTGGGACCCAGAGGTTACAATACTAATGAGGTATCTGTTAATATACTTTGAATAGTACTGCTTTGTTGTGTGAGCTTGTTGATTCAAAATCACATTTCCCAAAATGAGTTTGTGATTTATCTTCACTATTACTTCAAGATTTCTAGTCTTAAGCTAAACTAACTCTTGAAGTCTTTTCCACTTTTATTACTGGGGATTAACTCGACAAATTCAACCATGGTTTGAAAAGTAAGACTACTGGTACCAATGGATTGACTTCTGTATGTACTGTTCTCTCACATCCAGATTACCAGAAAATTGGCTGATGTATGTCAGTTCACTTCTAAAACTGAGCAGAGATGTCCTCCAGGGTTGTGAATGATTTAGTGCTCAGTTGTATTATGTTTCAGTACACTGCAAGACCTAATCCAGTGTATTCTGAATTGTTTTCATTCAAACATTGCCCTGCCTTGGTAGTGAATTTTTTGTAGTGTTCCCCAAGTGATTTTACAGATTTAACTGATGAGGAAATTAATGTAAAGGGATTGCTTCCAAACCTGCTGAAGCAGAATTCTTTCGAAGAAAAATCTCTTCATTGGCAGCTGCTAAAAATGCTCTATAGCATTTCTATGAGCTGAGCACTGCTTTTTGTTAAATGTTTTCCATTGTTTCAGGTAGATAAAATGTAACTACCAAAGTTGGATCAATCTTATCTATTATGTAAAGTACAATATTTTTTATTTTTCTTTTAAAATACACATTTCCATTTAACATTTATGTGCACTAACCTTTTAAGATTTATCACAACTGAAGGATACTAAGTATTTAGAAAATGCACAGCTCGTGTTCATGCTAAATCTATGGTTTCATGAAAATATGTAAAGTTCATGCACAAACCTGTATTAATCTTTCTGGTACACTAAAGTCAACTTTAATCTTAGATTCATTTGTGAAAAATCCATGTGACAGATCCATGTAATCTATTCTTAGCTCTTCCATTATTTGCTTCATAATGATACAGATTCTGGCAAGCCTGCCTAAAGCAATCTGATTACTTTGAGAATACCAGAAGAAAGCAGCATGTGGTTTTTACTGTCATGTATGAAACTCAGAAACTGAAATTTGTCACTTTGTTATTGTCAGTTGATCTTGGTGAACCTGCAGATCTAATTACTGCAAATTGTCCTGGCAGCATTATTGTTCAAAAAAACTAATGATTTTGTGTATACAAAAAATAGGTATATCACACCAGTATTTTTTTTCTTAATTTTCTTCATTGACATCCTGAAAAATATCAGGTTAATTTAAAGTTTGTCCTTTTCTTGAAACTACTTCATGGAACTGACCATAAGAGGTTGTGTGAAGTTTCAATATGGAGAATTGAGATTAAATGAAAACTTACTTCTTTCCTAGAAAAATACACTTTCAGCTACTGTTGGAGGCAGGATATTGAACTCGGTGGATCCATGGTCTAATTTATTGCCATTCCTTTGATGTTTCTTCCTCAGCCAACAGAACTCTTTGACCCTCTCAACTTCTCAGTCATAGGGCTTTCTAAAGTATCAGGCAGATTGTGAAATAACTGTAGAATCTGAAAGCTTATCTTGGTCTGTTTTGCCTTCAGTGCTGCAAACACAGAACACATTTCAAACCTTAAACTTATGAGGGGCAGCATATGCATAAACTTCATACACAGCCTTCAAGAAAGATGTACCTCATCTGTCAAATTTTGTTTCAGATGTTAACTAGTGAAAGCCATTTAGATAGTAAGGGGAAGATGGTGTTACAGGCAAAGACAAAAATAAAAGATCTCTTTGGCTTCTTTTTCACAATATGTCAGGATGACATTTTTCTCCCTACAAATTTTCTCCATATATTGTCATGCTAGCTGCTTCCCAGGTAGATGCAAACAAAGGGTAGGATTCTTACCTAAAGTGAGCATAGAAGTAGATCAGAGGAATTTCACACACTGGCTATTTTTCCTCAAAAGATATAACCAGGAATTTGAGGCAATAGTCAATATTGGGTGAAATTTCTTGAGAAATTTACTTATAAAGAGTCAGTCTGCTCTTTAAAAGGTATGCATTATTTTAAACATTAATAGTATTAAACTGAGTGATGACTGTTGACAGTTGAGAAAGAAGAAAATACATAGTAAAATGAATATATTAACTTCATCTTGTTTTTCAATAAATGAAATACTAAACTGTATATCAAGTGCCTATTGAAGAGAAAATGTGGATGTATTTAAAAATGTTTCTGTAAAGACTTAAAAAATTTTTGAAGAGAAGCCTCTGATCTCTTTTCTCAAGACTAGAAGAAATATTTTTGCTTTGCTATACTCAGCCATTTAATTATGCGGTAGTAGTCACCTGTGACATAGTAGTTCCTTGACTTTTGTGCATGGTGGTAGGGGGGAAGATGGATAAAACGTCTAAAGTAAAGGTATGATGAGAGAACAATGGGCATTTATTTAGGTCCTTGCTTCTTAAAATATGTTAGGCCTTTGAAGCTTATCAAGCAGCTGATTGCTTCTTCAAGACAGTCATATTATTGTGACTGCAAAATTATACTGTTTGCAAAACTGTTCATCCTTTAAAATTTAGGGCAATTCTATACAGGAAATAAATGGGACTATTTCTACCTGTAATGTTATATATTACGGATAAATGGTGCTATTGCCAAATCTGAATCTGTAATTCAGTTTAAAAGATACAATTCTAAAGTTTAACAAAATAATAAAAAACTCATCTTGACAAACAGTTGCAAAGTTTGGTTAAATAAGCAGTATAGAACAAAAGGCTTGGAAGAAATGTCTGACTTCAGTTATAGTTTTCTAACTCTTGGCTTTTAAGTTTTGAAACACATACCCAAGCTATACGTTGCATGGAGAGCTGGTCTGCATTATTCTTAATGTATCTCTGCTTAATGTTATCTCATTGAACTCTATTATAAGGTTATAAAAACTATCTCATCTCTTTTTAATGTATTATATTGGTTTGATCCTAAATGCCTCTGCTTTGTTCCAGGGAACCTTTCATCATTCTCTCAGGAGGCTTGTCATATGACACTGTAGGAAGAAGACCCTGTTTAACAGTTATGCATGGGAAAAGTACTGCTGTGCTAGAAATGGATTATTCTATCGTTGATTTTCTCACCCTCTGTGAAACACCATATCCTAATGGTAGGCTTTGTAAAGATTTTTCTCAGTACTTCGACCTCTTCTCTCTGGAGTTTTATCCCATCAGAATATTCTGTGCTATTGTCTTTCTGATTTATCTCTGGGGATCAGACTGGAGCAGCAACATCTGTTATCCCTGTTGTCTGAATGAAGTACTCTTTACTTCCCAAAGCATTGTAATAGAGTAGTTTATTATAAAACCTATTTTGCTTCTAGAAGAATGCAGATTACTGGTTGCATGGTTTTTCCTTTTGTATAATCCCAAAAGCATGTGCAGACAAAGCAGAATTACAATTTTAAGCTATAGTTACTGCGGCAGATGTGTTCATCAATATTGTTTGAGCACATGAGACCTTTCCAGTCAATGCTAAATTTTGATTAGCATTGTGTAGTAGTTTTAGTGACTTTATTCATTCCAATACTCACATGAAGTTCATCATTAACCTGTAATCTCTCTTCTGCAGAAGGGGATTTTTTTTTTTTTATTATAGTTTAGGTAGTTGTCCCAGACTAATAGCATTATACTGCTGATGACTCCAATGTTTTTAGCTGTCAACTTCCATCAGAGTATATAAAACTGCTTAGCTCAGAATTTGAGGTCTGACTGAAAGAGAGCAAGATAAACTTTGGAAACTCATTTAGTTTTCTTGTTGTAGTGTCAAGTTGACTGGCTGTCTTTCAATCCATTTTGTAAGCAATTAAAATTCAAACTGCACTGAATATGAGGAAAAGCAGTTTGGGGGTGGGAAGATGTTACTGTTCAGTAATTGGCTCTTTATCAAAAATACTGCTTATACAAGTTCCTCTGCATGTTCCTTTTCCTGTTATTTGAGCTGTTAAAATGGTTCGGGCAAGTTGGAAGAGTTGAGAACATTGAATTGTAGGGAGAGCCTGGCTTTTCCAAACTTAACTTGGAGTATTCAAGGGGCTGAGTGTATAAAATACCTTCAGAAACTCTAGTTTTTCTACTCTCAACTGATAGAGTGCAAGGACTGATCACAGTCTTGAGGCTGTGCATGCAAGAACTACATTTACTAGTAAGTAACTTTTTTCTTTCTTGTTTTCAGACTTTCAGGAACCATATGCTGTAGTTGTTCTCCTAGAAAAGGACTTAGTACTGATTGACCTTGCACAAAATGGGTAAGAATCTTTTGTAGTCTTTTTAATGGTTGGTTGCAGTGATCAGCCTGTTGTTCTGCTCTATAGCTTTTTAATGTACCATAAAACCTCCCTGTCCAGAACATAAAATTTTGAATATTAAATATAAGGTTTCCTCAGCAGAACTGAGAATCTTTATAGATCAATGTTTCTCAAGGTAATATGTAGAAGATGAGTAGAATATTGTGTGACTTTTTCCAGGCTTGATTGACTGACAGAAATTACTCATAGATCACTGCTTTTTAATTATCACAGTTTACTTTGAAGTTGATTCCTTAGTGTGCTATGAGGGGAGCTTGGAATTTTGGGGGAGGGAGCAAGAGGAAGAACTGTTCAGGTAAGACGGGTAATTTTGGCTGACACTGAGTGTTGTCATCACATAAATATTTGCTGATTTTATTGCTGAATTAACTGTTCCCTGTATTGCTTAAATTAACTCAATATTGATGCAATAAATATACATACAATTAAATGGTAACATCTACTCCCTGGTTTACTACTGTGGTAAGAGGCTGCTTAAAAGTAGTATCCTATTACAGTTTTCACAACTAATACTTGACTAACACATTTTGAGTCTCTTGTTACCCTGTCCATGGAACAGTCTGTATACTTTATTAGGTGGTGATTTAAAAATTCTAGATACCACAGACTTTTTTTATCAAGGGTTTTGAAATTTGTATAGGCAGTAACAACTAACTTTTTTAAGGTATTAGTAGCAGAAAACCAGATAACATCTTTGTAGTGTTCCTGATTAAGTCACCAATGGTCAATGAAGGAAAAAAATCCTTACGAATAACATCCTTCTAGCACAAAACAAAAACCTGTAAATATGTATCCTCAAAGTCAATGATGATACCTTAGATAATGAAGACTACTGAATTTGGAAGAAGGTCAAGTTTAGTCCGAATATTTCTGCAGCTGCTGAGCAATTTTATTTAGATTTTCCCAATGTTATATGGCCATATGCTGTATCCAGAACTTGTTTCTGATATACCAGTGACATGTTAAAAGATTAATAAAACAAGTTTTAATGAGTTTGAAATAAAAGCATTTGTACAAGGCTTTTTTTCTTAAGTGAAATAGTTTGCAGTGCCTAAAAGTTGAAGTTCTTCCATTTCATGTTAAACAAATCTTCGGCAGTTATGTTTTTAGAAAACTCATAATGGTCTTTAAGATTGACTCGCAAGGTATTGTTTTACACATGAAAAAAGCAACAAAATTAATAGGTGGGTGTTTTTTTTTTTGGCTACAGGAGGGTTCCTTTTGCGCTGTGTTATCATATGGGTTTATCATATTTTGTTAAAATTAAGCCTCCTCTTCGTTAATTTTTTAGAATATTGTTTTAGCTTTCCAGATAGCTCTGTATAAAGTTAGTGGTATGCAGAATGTTTTCATCTGTTGCTAATTTTTCCTTTAGATGAGTTGAGAAGTTGTGTCCTTTTTTGCCTCTCATGGAAATAAAAAAAAAAAAGGGGGGTGGGGAGGAAGTGTATGCATAATATGCATTTCTCTGGAGATAAATGTTCTTTGAACACAGATATGTTTACCTCTATTATTATTATTGGCTTTTTTCTTCATTAAGGCTCTGCCACTTTTCTGTTGGAGGTGGTGGGGGGGAGTATATGCGTGTGTCTTCGCTTCTAATTGGTAACGGAGTGTTGCTGTCGTTAACTTTCAGGAAAGTAGTGATCTTGGAGTTGTAAGTAGGTTATGAAAAGTGCTGGACAATTTCCTGTCTAAGAACAATATAATAATACAAAGTGAAAAGTATAGTCTTCCTGTCTTTCTCCCTGGAAGAATAGACTGAATCAGAGTTAGAAATAAATTCATAGCTCCAGCATGTAGGACTCGGTAAATTCAGTTTTTCCACAGGCTGTTAAAATAGTAATCTTTTAAAAATAAAAAACTATAGGGAATAGCGGTCTTCTAGAAATATTCTAGAAACAGTACAAACTTCAGGTTCCATCTAGAGTACAACAGTATCCTGATAGTGTACTGTATGAGCAGCGGAGTTGCACAGTATATTTGTTCCTAACCTAATTTGATATGCATTTATTTTCCTCTATACAAAAAGAATGCAAACTTTAGTCTTTGGTATTTTGTGTTCTGTGTTTAAAGAAAAAAGTTTCCTAGATTAACAGTCTTCCCCTTTCATCCATTAAAGGTACCCTATATTTGAAAATCCCTATCCTTTGACTATACATGAATCTCCAGTTACCTGTTGTGAATATTTTGCTGACTGTCCTGTGGACCTCATACCTGCACTCTATTCAGTTGGCGCTCGACAGAAACGTCAAGGTTACAGTAAAAAGGTACAACATCTAGTACATACATATGTATCTGAAAATACTGAATATTGACAGCTCTAAGCAACATGAGTGGCCGTACTAAGACCAAAGTTCCATCTGACTCCTTATCCTGTCTGACAGTGTCTAACAGCATGTGCCTAGGGAGGATATAGCATATGTCAAGCCTATAGTCATGCTTTCCTGATGTGCTCCCATCAATTTCTATATTGCTGGAAGCTGAGAGATTTTCTGGAGCAGGGGTGGTGTTTATAGCCCTTGCTGACTTTTCCCCCCTCCTCCCCCGCAGTGGATATGTCTAATTACTTTTTGAAGTCATGTGAAATACTGGAATCTGCAGTATCTGCAGTAATTTCAATGGCTTAACATAGCACTGTATGATATTTTCTTCCTCAGTGTATTTATTAATCTTCCAGGAATGGCCTATCAGTGGAGGCAACTGGGGTTTGATCACTCAGAGCTATCCAGAGATAATTATTACAGGGTAAGTGACACCACAATGTAGTAATAACTTTCTTAGCTGATTAAGCAGAAGTGAGAATATTTAGTTCCTCTTATAGAAAACAATGTTCTAAGAGTGGTTTGAATGATTTAAGGAATTATGTTCATCAGACAAGTAATTTGCATAATCTTCTTGAGGCACTAACAAGGGAGTAAAGCAAAATATGGGAGAGAATGTAGGAACAAAATGATAGGTGTTTTACAGGGATTATTATTATGATGTGATATTGTGATTGTGGGCTCTCAGTATATCCTGGGTGAAACTTATCTTTTATTCTTCAACTTGTGGAAAATAGTTGAGTAGTGTTTTAAAACATAGGAAATCCATTAAATAGTTACCCAGTTCAGTTCTCGAAGGGAAGCAAAGTTTTTTATTTTAAAAAGCACAGCCACATGCTTAAATCTGTTAGTTTTGATCTCTTGAGACTGATCCTTCTAATACTATTCTAATGAGCATAAACAGAATTTTATTTATAACCATGCAGTGCATCACTGAAAGTGAGAGCACTACTAAAGTTTTTTTTTTTTTTTTTAGAACAGCCCATTACCCCTAATGAGGATTACTGTCACTTTATACTACATATTGCAGAGACTTTGAGACACAGTCATGAAAAAAATCTAGTCATCTGATTCTCAATTTCAAGGATAAATGAGCAAGTTAGGTGACTCATTTACACTGAAATACAGTATATTTAGGCATCTCCTTTACAAGTGTCATTCTAAATAAAGGGCATCTTTTAAGAAACAACACATGGTAAGGTATACCAAACTGCTTATGGGAAATTCAGGTGATTGAAATCAGTATTTAAAATGGTAAATTAATATTAGTACAGGGGAATTTCAGAGAGTTAGCCTCCAAATGGTTGGTTTGTTTCGGTTTTTTTAATCCCTTTTGTTCAAAGTACTTGAGTCGTGTTTGTGAAATATTGGCTTCCAATAAATTGTGAAAATAAAGTGTCACTAAGAATACTACTAAAAATAGAATGTTAGCCATGTATTTTCTAATCAGTAGCAAAGAAATTTAATACTCCAACTAACCATTTAACCATCTTACGAATTTTTTAATATTTCATAGGCATGCTGATGGGTCAATCAAGTTTTGGGATGCCTCAGCAAGTAAGTGTTTTCAGTAGAGATTTTTTCCTGTGCAGTAGTTTCCTAAACTTACTGATTTCTCTAATGAAATATAATTACAGACTAGTCACTCTCATTATTTCCTGTTTCATGTAAAGTCAGTAACTCCATAGGAAACTTTGATTTAAAATTAAATAAAACTAACGTTATTTCTTAGTTAATCGTTTCACTGTATTTACTACTTCAGTGAAAATGCACTGGTAGTCCATGGGCCAGCCAGAATGGAAAAGCTCTAAAACTTTTTAGAAGCAGATTCAGAAGCATGCTATTGAGCAATAGATATCTCTATAGATATTTTATGGGCAAATGCATTCCTTTTTAGTACAATTGAATTTCAATAAGTTATTTCTGTCTTTTTATACAAGAGGCAGGCATGTGTTTGTAAGACATCAGCTCCCCATAAATTACAGTACCTAAAAATGAGAACTGGAACCAGCAGTAGTTTGTGCTAATAAAATGAACTAAGCATTTGTGAAGAAAGGCAGGAGAACAGTAAAATAAAGACACTTTTCTTTGCTGAAACACTGAACAGGCTTCAAGAGTCTTACACCATTTTACATTTCAGTTAAAAGGTCGAATGCATCTGATGGTCTACACAGCTAACAGTGAAAAATGCAGTAAGAATTCAAATTAGAATGGAGTACAGAGTTAGATGTTTTAATTAATCTACTTCTGACTAACCTTACTCATAGTACTTAAAAGCTGCCTGAAGCAATCTTGAAATCATTATCAGTTGTCTTTGAAAACTTGTGGAAGACTGGTAAGATTCCAAAATGCTAAGGCGTGTGTGGGTGTGGGAGGGAACAGATGCAATGTATATGTTTAAAAACTGGAAGGAGGCGTATTTGGAGTGTTATAGATCTTTAATTTCAGTTTAGGGTAGGAGTGAAACCTGGGGGGGTTGGGAACCAACCAACCAAACTCTATTTGATTCTATGTGCTTAAAAATTCTATTCAGCATAGATCTGCCAGCAGGAGATCCTGTTAAAGACTTTTAGTTTCTTTCTAAAAGAGATAAATAAACCTGTTAAGGGAGAAACTGCAAGTGTCCTGTATCTTGATTTGAAAACTTCTAAATTTGTCTAACAGCCCAGTCTTACAGATGAACTAGGGAAGTGTGATTCAGGTAAAACCACTGAAATATGAAAGAGGAGAAAGGATGCTGTAAATTAAGTTTTCCTAATGATGTGATTAGTATTTGTAACAGTGATTTGGGCCATTGACTACCGAACATGCTTGTGAAGTTTCAAAGCAACACCAAGACAGTTGAAAGAAAATGTAAGAAAGAGTTAGAATTACAGTTGAGAATGATATCGGTAATTCTTAAATAGCACCTAAGACAATGTATTTGAATACAGTATCAGTGTTTTACACTCAGAACTCATGTTCTGGAATAAAAAAATTGGAGGTCTAGTGGATTGCACTGTCAGCGTTGCACAAAAGAATTAAAAAATCATTGGGATAAACAGCTGTGAATATTTGTAAAACCTGTGTGGAGTAATTCTTTCACAATTTTAAACTGTAGCAAGGCCTCACTAGAACAGTTGTAGGAAACACTATCAAGAAAAACATGGACTGATCAGCAGACAGTGCTTTTGAATGATCAGACAGGACAAAATAAAAATCGGAGGAACTGCGGCTGCTAAGTCTGAGAACACAGATGAGAGGCCATGGATTTGAAATACTGTAAGGAAAAAGGAACAGAACTTTACTTTCTCTGCCATAGATAGGCTTAAGTTGTGGGTATGGCATTTGTAACTAGGTATTATTAATATAAAGAGATCCCTAAGAATAGTTAAGCCTTGAGAAGCTGTGAAGGCTTAGTTTATAACTGAGTCACTCAGTATATATCTCTCTGAAAAGTGTTGTGTTTTTTTTAAAACTAACTGATCCTGCATTGGGCAAGTGATGCACTGCATGGGCAGAGTCAACACAGATATTCAGTGCTTCTACTCTGCCTTCTTTTGTGGATTTTAGTGGTTTTATCTATAAAGAGAAGTTTCTCAATTTAGAAAAAAAAAAAAAAAACTGTTTAGATCAAAACTAATTTTTTTCTCTTTTGGTTTGTTCCTAGTAACGCTGCAAGTACTCTATAAGCTAAAAACAGCCAAAGTATTTGAAAAATCACGGAATAAAGATGACAGGCCAAACACAGATATAGTAGATGAAGATCCATATGCTATTCAGATCATCTCATGGTGTCCAGAAAGTAGAATGCTGTGCATAGCTGGAGTTTCTGCTCATGTCATTATTTACAGGTTCAGCAAGCAGGAAGTGACAACAGAAGTCATTCCGGTAATTAGTATAACCATTTTTTTAACTTTGTAGGATTTAGCTGTAAGACTGTTGTAGCAATCTACTTCTTCATTGTCTTTCATTTTATTAGTGAAATGGACAAAAACAATTTCCTCAAAACAAGGAGATGTATTTTTGTGGAGGAAAAATAATAAATTATGAAATTCAGCAAAAATTGAAATTGCACACCAAGACTTTAGTTTTCATTTAGTTTTGCAGCCAGTAATAGTTCTTTGTTCTAACTATCAGAGGAAATTGTAGATCCAAACTTGACTGTATCAAAGATAAAATGAAAAGAGAAGTGAATGATATGTGGAGTTGAAGAATTTTCAAAGCTTTTAGGGAGTTGATTCTTCTTATTTCATTGATTTCTAATAATTACCATCTCTTTTGGCAAGGCTTCTGCAGTATGCAGAGCTAGAAGACTAGAAATGTGCCAGACATGCTGTAAGGTCTGTTAAGGACTTTTCCTATCACATTTTATTCTGTGTAAGATACAATGATGAGTTCTAATACAAGAGCTTGAGAAGTCCTTTGTTAAATCAGATACACACACATGCAACTTTACTTATCTGAGAACTGAAAGCTAACTTGAAGCCATTTCATTATAAAATGTTGTATGTTCTAAGTAAAGCATTAATCATAACATAGTTAGGTTTTTTCTTCCCTCCTGTCCCCTCACCTGTATTCTACCCCTTCACATATGCCTCATCTCCTTAAACTGAGACTTGTTTTTTTTTTTTCCTTCTGGTGTTCACTTATGTACAAGTATATTCCCTTCTGAGGGAATAGTTTTCCTAAATTATTTTTACAGATCAGCCCCTATCAAACTATTCCTCAGTACTAGAAATGTCTCAAAAAATACTGTGTAGTTCTTAATTTCGGTCCATGAGTAAAGTTCTACTTTGCAGATGATGAGAGTAAAACAATGGAGAACTTTATACTGCACTACAATCAATACTAATACTGTTACAGATCTAGCAGAAGGAAATCTGAAATCATGATGAATTTATAGTACTTTAAAATGTGTGTTCTCATTCTGTGCAATATCAAATGTTGAACTAAGTCCCATGTATACAATGCCACAACAGTATAGAGTGTAGCTGTCTATATGCCTTCAGTTCTTAGTTTAGCATTCCTCAACTACGTAAAACAAGTCATCTTCATAATTGAGAATTTATTATATACACAGAACGATAATTAAATGGGTCTTGTATCCAGTATTTAATTCTTTCCAATATTAAGCAGCAAACTTTTAAATATTGGAAAATAAATTATATTTTCAAGTTTCAGAAATCATCGGATATTTAGTCTGTAGTAGTTAGTATGAATGTGTTTCTGAAGACTACATGTGTGAGTTTAGGTTGCACTGTTTATTAAACTACTGTGACCTTTCAAAAGATGGAGGAATCGTGGATGTCACTCTTATCAGTACTATCTGCAGTTGCATTTCATTTATTTCGTATCTAGTTTTTTGAAAGGCAGAGATTACTGTTTAAATTTTTTACTTTAATATACAGATGCTGGAAGTACGTCTGTTATATGAAATAAATGATATTGAATCTCCAGATGGTGAGCAGGTGCCACCTTTACCAACTCCAGGCACAGGTTCCAATCCTCAATCCATTGTTCCTCAGTCTCATCCATCTACTAGTAGCAGTTCATCTGATGGCCTTCGTGATAATGTCCCATGTTTAAAGTAAGTATATTCCGTTACACTTTTGAGTGTGAAACTTTACAAGACTGTGTGATGAAAATATATTTACTTTGTTATTACAGAAGTGTCATTGTTGGTGAAAATGTTTTATTTCTCAGAGCAACGTTTTCCCATTATCTGAAAGCTGAGTTATGTTTTAAGAAATCAACATTGCAATCTTAGTTTTTTGTAAAACTTTAAGTTGATTTTTTAAAAAAAATCTGAAAATTTTTACCTTATGACCGTTGCCTGCTTTATGAAACTTCGGAATAGATGTTAGTATATTTATAGATGCCCATCTTTAAAGCAAACATTTTCAATAGCAGCAATATAGTTACTTTGAAATCTTACTGTCCATTGAAATGAACAGTCGGTGTTTTGTGGCTCTCCTTAACTTTAGGCCAAGTACATATGAATAGATTTTAATTGTTAGTTTTCCAGAGCCTTAGGATTTTAGAGCCAAATCAAAAACAATGAAAATGTTTATAAATACCTGAGAGGTAACTCTTTCTTAGGCTTATAAATATATTTTTCTCATAACTCTCCAAGGGAACTACTTTGTATTTTGGGAACAGGAAACAGAATTATATAAATCTCCCATTCTCATGGATCTTCATTTTGCATGATGCTTCATAGTGTTCACAGTGTATGTCTTTGACCAGTTTTCAGAGTCTTTAAATTGGGAGGTTTTTCCATAAGGTTGATGTGTGAACCTTTACTCATTTGAGAAATGGAAGTTAAAAGAAGACAATCTTTTTTACTATTCTACAAGAGTGCATTATGAGGCCTCCGGACCATCAACTTTTCCTTACAGAATGTACATTGAACTTCATTTTCAGATATAAAGTTAAGATATGTATGTACTTTTTTTTTCCTGAAGTTTTAGGGTCCCAACTTGGATTTTATTTTTTTGGGTACATCCATCCAGAAAATAACTAATTTCTGAAGGGGTTATTTTATCGGGGTTGGAATTCTTCCTTATATCTTATTGGTTGTACTGAGTTGCAGAAGTGTCTTTCTAAAGAAATGTGGACGAAGTAGAAAAAATCGAAAATTTTGAATTTTTATAAAATATTGGCAAACCAAAATATGCATTCATGAAAATGAATGGGTGGTAAACTAAGAGGACTTCAGGGACCAGAGGAGCTTATTGTTCTATGTAAAATTACTCACCTTAAAAGATGAAAGACCTGCAGGACATTCATAAGTTTCATCTGCATACAAACAAAATCTTCCCAGGAGCTTCAATTCCCCCATACAACTGGTCTACCATTATAATAATTTGCCTTGCTTTCATTGTTTTCTTTTATCGTATCATCAGCTTTTTGTTTGCATTTGTCTCCATACGTTGTGCTTCTGTTTCCCTTTTCAGTACGCTTCTTCCACATGACCTTCTCTCCCCCTTCCACTCTCTAAATCAGAGTTCTGGGAACTCTGAAAATAATGGGTAACACCTTCCTGCTAGGAACTGAACACCTTTAATCAAGCCAATACAGCATGTAAACGCTATTATGCTGTGCTCTGAAGAGAGGAGAAATTAAATATTTGTGATCATTGCTCAATTAATTTTCAGTTAGGTAATGAATCAAAAGGACCCTAAAGTGAATAATTACTTCCAGGGTGGCTTTTCCTCATTGTCATTTTGTCTTTGTGTTGATTTTTTTGTGATTTTCCAACTTTCTAAAGTCCGATGTGGTATAGAATTTAATGAATACTGGGCCCATAAGGAAAAATAGAGACTGTGGAGAGTCATGAAAAGATACCATGTTTTGTTTACTTTGCAGAGTTAAAAATTCTCCTCTCAAGCAGTCTCCAGGCTACCAAATTGAGCTTGTTATCCAGCTCGTGTGGGTGAGTGGAGAACCTCCTCAACAGATAACCAGCTTAGCAGTCAACTCAGCGTACGGCCTGTAAGTATGTTCTACACAGGTTTTTCATTATTCTGTTAAAATTATCTATTAAAAATTAAGCCTCTGTGTGCATTCACATGAGCTGCACAGCAACACAAGAGGTGCAATCAGTCTCCTGTGCTTAAAAGATAATTGCTTTTGGGTCATGGCAGATCCTAATGATGTTAACATCAGAAACAAATCAGCATCATTCTTCCTCACCTGGCACTGTACAGCCAAGAGTAAGTGTCATATAAGGCTCTGTCAGTTAGGTTGGCAACTACAATGAGAGTGATCCGTTCAACTCAGTGTTACGTGTATTTACAAAAGAACTATTAAATGACACTGCATTCTAAAATAGTTAATTAGAAATATGTGTAATTCAAGGTAATTCACAAAAATTAGGAAGTCTCGAAATGCTGGACAGCCACAAATACCTACACAAAACTGTCTTTCCTTCCACTTCTCTTTTTCCAGAGTAGTTTTTGGAAACTGTAATGGTATTGCCATGGTTGATTACCTTCAGAAAACAGTGCTCTTGAATCTAGGCACTATTGAACTGTATGGCTCCAATGATCCTTATCGCAGGGAGCCACGATCTCCCCGAAAAACTCGGCAACCATCTGGAGGTGAGTAACCCAAATCTTGTTTTAACCAGCTGTGCCTTTATTCTGAGCTTATCTGGGCTATTAGTGTATACTCTGAATACAAGCATGTTTTTCTCCATTGTGATTTCATCCTTTCTTTTTGATCTGTTCCTAATGTCACCACTGCAGGTTTGTTAGTTCATCTTTCCTGCAAAACTGTTGCTTAGTGGGATCTACTGATGCTTGATAACATCAGTGTGTAATGCATGTTTTAAGAAAGAGCAGATGGGAAAACATTATCTGTGTGAATAGTTATAACTATAAATGTACAATGGATTTTTATGCAGTTTACAAGACTTTAACTTAACACACCATGAAGTAGAACTACCCTGGTATTTCTGATAAACCTAGTACCCATATCACATGCTTGTATAATCGCCTTAATGTTTGCAGATAGCCAGCATATATGCTGGGATCTTTTGGCTTCCTATTTTAACCATTGACTAGAAATACCCGTGACAATCTAAGCATGTTACATTGTGTATGCTGCTATGTTATACTTGAGAGGAAGCCTTGGATTTAAGTGAACCAAATAAACTTCCAAATACAAGGTGGTAAAATAAATCTTATTTGAAAAGAAAAGGACTTTGCTTTTAAAAATGTACTGGAGAGGGTTGTTCCTTTGCAGCTGAGGAGGAAAGTGACTTTTCAGTCAAAATACCAAGCTTTTTATTACCAAAAGGAAAATCTAGTATTTTTAAATTATTTTCTTCTCCTTATGATGTAGTGGATACTTTTAAGTTAATTTGGAAAATGGATAAAGACAAGATGATAAATGATGTCATTGCTGCCCCAAATTATTAATTTTTGATCGGAGATAAATTGTTCAAAAAACATCTTCATGCTCTAGTATTGGTTGTTTTATTTTAATATATCCAGAAAAAAAATAGAGGTAAGTTCTTTAGGTAATATTTACTTTAAATTGAAATGTATGCTCTAAGATGTATTTTAATAAATCATTGGTTTGAGAGAGATCTAGTTAGCAGCAGTCAGCTATTTCAACTGAGGAAACTGGTCTAAAAATCATTAGTGTAGAGCAGAATATACACAGCCGGTATCATGACAGATAAAATATTTTCTTCTAATAAATGAAAACTTTATTAAAATAATTACTTGTTAAGAGAGAAAGAAACAACTTTACTGACCTGTGTTAATTCCTCTTGGGAGTAACGGGCTTAAATTCTGCTTCATTCATTTAGATTATAAACTGCCTTTTGGAGTGTTAAACATTACTTGCTTTGTTTTCTTGGCTTTTGTTATTTTAATGTATTGGATCTGCATAACTGTGTCTCTAAGATGTTCAAGAATTAAGACCTTTTTGCTCATGAATATAACTGTTACATGAAGTACTGTATTTTTTCATCTTACATTTTAGTACTAACAATCTGCATGGCAAGAGCACTTTATAAACCTGGTTATACAAGTTATTCTGCTGGCTTTTCTGTCTCAAATATACTGTTAGTGTCTTCGTCTTTCCTTTTCTCATTGCTTCATAAAGGTATGCTGACTGTGGCTTCTTGCATGTGCGGCCTTTCTAACTTATATTCAGAGTCTGTGAAAAAGCTTCGCACCTCTTATATAAGTAAGTCATCTCATGGCAATAAAATATTTTTGAACATCTGAATTTGATTTTTTTTGACATGTTCACTCATCATAAATGTTTTTGTTATCCCATTTTAAGCAATTGTTTTGCTTTTAGAAGCTGATTTTAATCCATCGTGCATCTATTGTATTTCTCGTTCATGGAATCTTTAAAAGAAACTTGAAGGAAAAAAAATCAACCATAATAGTCTCTGTATTTTGTGTTTTCAAATAAATAAATATGAAAATCAAAAGGAGATCCAGGCTCAGAAGTTACTGATGTCTACAGACCTGAGATCTTACTCACCAAACTTAGTGTTGTTTTGAGATCTGAGGTTAGAAGCTTCCCTTCCTTGGTTCCTTTTCTGGCAGAAGAAGCTTCAGAACTCTAGTGTTAGATTATTATTGTTATTGTTGTTATTGTTGTTAAAATTTTTTATTATTCTTACTAGAATAATAATATTTAACATTGTACAAGACAGCGATTTGTATATTACAAATGAAAATTTACTTCTGCATAGATATTGTTCATAGGGATTAAGTATGGACGTGTGTATTGCACAGCCCTGTGGGGTTTCCAAGCAGTTTTGAAGTTCAGGCGCCTATGAGAGGGAGGGAGCCCATGAGAACCATGGTTTACCTGAGGGCTTCTCTGACTTACTCCATCATTCACAACATCCAAGAACTTGGAGAACATAAAACTTTTTTTAAAAAGTATAACATTGTTCCTTTCCCTAGGATGCTAGTTTTCTCCAACTCTTGGGCAGAGGTAGATAATCTCACACCATTTTTTAATGAAGGAGAGTAGAATAAAACTAAGCTAAGAAGAATGTCGTGGAGTTTAAAAAAAATGAAATAAAATAAAATAATAATTACAGTAATAATGGAATGGAAAAACAAGTGATGCACAATGCTGTTGCTCACCACCCAGTGACTGATGCCCAGCCCATTCCCAGATAGAGATTTCAGAGAAGAGAGAATCCTGAAACCGAAATCCTGGAAGTTAGAGTGAGTTTCCTGATAAACCTTTGTCTATATACTGATCATGATCTTATATGATATGGAATATTGCATGAACCAGTTTGGGCCTGTTGCTCCGGCCATGCTCCCTCCCAGCTTCTTGTCTACCTGCGCACAGGCAGGACATGAGAAGTTGAAAAGTCCTTGATTTCTTAGCAACTAAAAACATCAGTATGCTATCAACATTCTTCCCATATCAAATCCTGTAGTGAATCCAAAACACAGCATTTTCTGGCTACTAAGAAGGGAAAAAATATAAAAAAAATAGCTCTATCCCATCCAAAAGCCGGACAGGGAGAAAGGGAGCTAGGCAGGAAAGAAATGCGTCTACCTAAAGATGATACAGAACTGAAAATCAGGATCACCCACTGATTTGTTATTGTGAAGGGAGGCAAAAGATGGGCATAAGTCTCAAAACTGATTTCTGAAGCCAAAAATTGTAAAGCTGAACTTACCTGAACTACTTAATTTAGGAGTAGGTTAAAAGAGGTTTTGTGTGAAAGGGTTAATTTCTTAACCATGTAGTTAATTCTCATTCTTTCCACCATCCTGCCAGTATCTTCTTGCTTAGGTGGAGCTGCAGTCTTTTTAAAAACTGAAAATAATTTCTCTAGAGTTATTTAATATTTCTCATTGTTTGTAGTTCTTTCAATGTATGTGTTGCCCAGACTTCAATAGCTTAAGTAATAAAGTATTGCTGTGTAATTTTTCACAAACAATAAGCCTCTTACATTAAAGAACTACCCTTTGCCATATTTGTAGAATTGGAATGATGAGATTTAGTCAGGATGCTTCCAGATTTTACATTCTCCCTTTCTTGAACATTAATATCCGTGTCTAGTGCCTTCAAAAATGCAAGGAACTTGTGCTTCCTTGATTTTGTTTTGAAAGATACGCCTTCATTGAATTCTTTATCTTTAAAACATATATATTATATATTATATTAATACTTCTAAATTAATTTTTCTACAAATAAGACATTTTTAACTACTGTACAGCTCTACCTTCAGAGAGTATTAGCACTTAATTTCTAAATATTCCTAGAAGAAGAATTTATGTATTTAATGTGGTTGTTTTAGAGAAAGCTTTTTTTTTTTTTTAAATCATACTAGCCTATGCATGCATTCAGATAAGTTCTTGATTGGTTACGTTAAATTGAGGTTCAGTGTGCAACAGAGCAACATATTGTTATTCTACTTTGTATCCCAAGATTGGCAGAACCAAAAAATTAAATTATTTCAGTATAGAGGGAAGTAGGAAGATATCACTCTCTGTTACTCAACCACTTCCATAGGCTTTGCCCCAAAAAGGCAGCAAGCATTGCTCCTTCCTCATGAAGAGCCCTGCTGTTCTGTATGTTCCAGCATAAAGTATCTACTTAATATCATCAGTATCTGCTTACATATTTATAACTTAGTAAATGGCATGTCTTGATTCAACGAATTGAAAATTTAAAAATACTTTTTTTAAAAAAGTTCACAGAGTAAGAGTTATGGTATCTTCTAAAATATAAATGGAAATGCAAGATTTTTCCCTTCACTTGTGTTGCAAGAATATGATGTATGTTTCTGTCATCTTATTTTTTCTACTCAGAAAAGAAATTCAGATTCCCATCTTAAAGCAGCATCTATTTAGAAACAAGGCTCTCTACACTAGCTAGACTGTAAACTGTCATTTCAGGCTAGCTCAACAGATACAAGCTCCCAGTTGGGATCGTGTTTTGGAATTTATCAGTGATACATACCAGGTATATTACTCACATGTTTTGGGTGGCAATTTATAGTTTGTGAAGCATGCAGTATATGTGTTTTGTGAAGGCCTGCTAGACAGTGTCATCAGGTGCTTGTCAAAGATAAAACAAAAGTCAACATTTGCCTTTAGATCATAATAGTGGGGGTGGGGGAGAACCCAACTTTTGCCATGTGCTGGAAGACACAAAATATGTAAGTAAATGCTTTATAGTGTGATGACAACTCTATGCACAGTGGAGATTTACACTATTTAGAGACCTTTGCCTGATATACTATTTGCTAAATATGGCAGGAGTCATTAAGATGATCAATATTGGTATCAACTTATCAAACAATTTGTAGTTTTATGACTAAACACCAAAATTTATGGACAGGTGTTATTTTTCCTTGCTTAGTTACATAATTAAGTTCACACCAATTTTAACTCTTTTGCAACTTGCTACTGGTAGGAGTTACAAGATCTTACCTGACTTCTGAACTAGTACAATACAATACAACTTTTTATAAGTTAGTATTTCTTAGTTCTACCAGAGGCAGTTTAGGATTCTGACAAAATAGAAGCAGTTCTTGCATGTATGTGACTTCTTAAATTTTTATTATACATCAAAAAGCCTTTTCTGAATGTAATCTATGAGAGATTCAGAACTGAGGTTGAGTCAAATCTGAAGAAAATGCATGCCAAGAACTCTTCTGGGTTGCCTTGTTCTAGTTGTTTTCCCTATCCCCTTTCTCTTTGAACTGGCTCTGGACATGAACTATTTGAATTTTTAACTTTAAATGTCAACTAAACCAGACCAACATCAGCTGTGGCTAAGTTGAGCGCAGAACTGAATCAGAAAATTTGATGATTGGGTTTGGGAATTTTTTGAGTCAGCTTTTCAGGTTAATTGTTTTTAATTCTAACTTTTACATCTTCTTGTCAAGCTAGTTCTAGTTGTAATTTTTAATTGGGCTGGTTTCTAGATAAGCTGTAGTTTCTTCAGAGATATAGCTGCCTAAAGCTTATGTGCAAAAAATTAAAATGTCCTATGAAAATTACTTTATGCATCAGTTAATTTCAACTGTAATTCTAGGGAGTTTTTAATGCAGCATGGTCATTTTTATGTCTTTAATGACATTATGTAGTGGGGTTTATTATTCATCATGGGGGTTTTCAGATTTCCTGCTACTAGAGTTCAAAGAGATAAGATAAAAGCTTATTTAGAAGGTCACTTTTTCATATATTTGTGTCCTAGCAGATTGTAGTCTTTGAAGTTCTGAAATTGAAACTCTTGGATCAATTTGCTTTTGTAATCCTTAGCAATTTGCACATATGCTGTAAGCCTGAAATTAGAGGACTTTTCCAGGAGATCTGTCTTGCTGCCAGTGCGCACGCTGCTCCTATTGGGGTACCTGGGGTTTTAAAAGGAACAGCAATAACAATTGTTACACCCGTTTCTTCTTCTCATTGGTCATGGACAGATCCTCATAGTTCACAGACTTAACTCAGATCATTCTTGTTATTCTCTGTTTAGTTTAATTACTAATACAGTCATCTGTAAAATTATTTTTTGTCTATTCTTGCTCTTCCTTCTCTCTTAAATAATATTAGTGATGGCTATGCTTAGATTTCCGTGGTTTATGTGCCATAATGATTGTCATAATGCACACTTACGCTTTAGTGTAAGGGATAAATCTTACCTAATGCATACAATTAGTGCATAGGTTTATGATGAGGGAATATTTTGAGGGTTTTCTGTTGGATCAATTGATCCAAGTTATTAAGATGTATATTAATCAAATCATAGCCTCAAGACCTATTACAAAGAAATCAAGCACGCAGGTGTGTGACTTCATTCTTGGCTAAAGACTATTCCTGTCAATGAAGGCATTTTCATAGTAAAACTAGTGTGAGAGGTTAAACTCTTCCTACAAAGATGAAGAATTAAAATATTTGTGGGAAAGTGGTAATTAAGTTCCTGAACTGTGTGTTTGGATTTGTTCAGTCTGGCTCCTGAAGGACCATGATCTAGAAACAGAACTGTTTCTAAAAGTACAGTACAGATTTGTTCTCCAAGCACTGATACTATCTAAAACTTGTATTGCTTGTTCGGAGAGCAGAGCCTGGATTTTTGAAAAATCTTTTTACACAACTCTGTCTAGTACAAAACAGACTTCCATGCGTGTTTAAAACTCTGGTGCTTTCAGATGTTAAATCATACTTTGTTAGAGAATATGTACCACAATTGTCCCATAATGGTCATTGATTTACTGATAGATAAATAAATAAATTGCATTTTTCTTTCTCCTGTGTAGTAGGAAGGCATAGCTCCCACCTGCGATTTCACCTTATATTTCAGAATTTGAATCAGTTCCTGAACTGTTGTTAAGTTTAAGCTTAATCAAACCTTAAGGTCATCTGACAATTTCACAGAAATTCTACTCACTGAGTTTTGATGTTCGAGCTGTATGTGATCTTAGTAATCTTAAAGACTATTTTGCATAAATGAAACTCTGTGAATGCAGCATACTTTTAATGTGTTCCACATTGATATATTTCAGGGTAAGCTTTTTTCTTTAACTGATTAACTTCTGATTTAGTATTTGGAAATTTTAAAGCTTTGATAGAAGAGTAGTGCTGTTCCCATATATTTTTTTTTGTTGTTGTCTGTTAACAGATATGTACAGATGTACTAGTGAATGTGTAGTGTACAGCTGTATAGACAGGCTTTGCATGCGCAAGCCCTTGTTGCCTTAGCCATACCATTACACATCTCAAGCTTTTTGACTATTTGAAATATTTGTGTGCATGCAAAATACTTTAAATTTAACAAATATTTCTTAACTATTACTGTTAAATTTGAATTAGTATCACATAATGAAATTTCTGAAGAAAAACTTTATATTATCTAAACCTAAAGATGAATTTCTGTCCTTAAAATATCAGTAAAATTCACTTTTCTTAATCGTGGGCAGTCTTGACAGCAATTTCTTGTTAAAAAGGAAAACAGAAAAATTCCTTGTATACTTACATTTAGTGCTATGGAATAATATTTAGGACCCTTATAATGAAAATTTCATCTTCAGCATTTGATTGGGGACTTCTGTGCTTTACTTCCTTCACTGGAATATGAAAGGAATAGGCTTTTAGATATTAACATATTGCTGTTATTCAAATGATCAGATTTGACAATGTAAGAATTCAGTGAAATTCTTCCATACAAGGAGGAACACTTTTGGAAGCATCTTAAAACTTAAATTACATAAGGGACATCAATAAGGAGTTTTGCTCAAAAATAAATTTGGCAATACAATAGCAAATAAAAAGCATGTCAGGGTAATAGTGGGAAAATTATTTCAAAAAAGGCACTGTAGTTTCACATGTGGTTGTAATCTTCAAGATCCACTTTCATACAACTTTCTTTTGTAATTACATTTTTAATACAACTCCAGGATTTTTTCAAAACAGAAATTATATTTGTACTTTATTATCTATAGCATGTAAATAATTAACTGTTTTGATAAGTCTGTCTTGCTGAAAATACGGTGGTTTTCACTAAAATTTAATGAGGAAGTGTATTTTGTAAAGAAAAATTTAGTAGAAAGACATGACTCTATAGTTACCGTGGCTAATGTCCAAATTAGAATTTCTGTTACGTTTTTTATCACAGCTGGCTAGTTCATAGCTAATAAGAAATGAAATTCCTAACTGCAGTGAAAGAAAAGATAAAATAGCACCTGTATTTATTATACACTGGTTTTGTGTTCCAGCAGGTCTTTGTGATATTAATGAAGGTACAGCAGTGCCAGAAGACCGCTGCAAATCGCCCACTTCAGGTAATCATGACTTTTTATGGTCTTCAGCTTCTTATTTTCTAAGAAGATGGCATGCTCTAAATCAACACTTACTAATTCAGTAATTGTATAGAATCTGTTGTCATCTCATATGTTTGTCTGAGCTGTCATAAATTTTGCTGTGTTGCACAACTGCAATTTTAAACCAAGGCTGATTTTAAGAGATACAATAGGAATATGTCATAAAGATTAGTGAAGAGAAATACAATCTGAAATATTTATGCTTCAGGGAACATACTGCACAATAGAATTTTGAAACATTGATAAGAGATATGCAAATTCCTCTGGCAGTTCATGTGGGGTTTTTTTTTGAGTCCTCGAAAGTGGTACAGATTATTTCTGTAAAAAGAGCTGGTTTACTTCTTCCTTTTAAGTGGTAAATTATTGTTTTTCTTTGGAATCAGAGATCTTCAGAAACTGGCATCCTTGCAAAGTAGGAGTTCCTTTCTTAATGCTCCCTCCCTCCATTTTTGGGGGTTGTTTTTTTTTTGTTAGTTGCCACTACTGCCTGTGAATGTTTTAAATGGAAGCTCCAGCACTGTGTAATACTGCTTAGCATTTTGCTTAATATTGGCTGGTTGAGGCAACAACTATGTAAATACTTAATAATGCATGTCAATATATAGTGTTCATGACAAATATTTCACATAGTAGCTAAAAATTTGTCACTTCACTATTACTCTGAGAAAACTTATATGTTTAAGTGACTTATGTCACTGTTTCATTCAAAGTTAAAGGACAAAATTTATGCAGATTTACTCAGGTACGTAAGATAGTACATGCATTCTTTGCAATGTAGTGCAAAATGGTTATCAATATAAGAATCTAAAGGTAGATTCCTTTTCTACTGTAGCCTGTACCTTTCAAAGCCAAGTTAAAAGCATAACAAAACAAAATATCCTGTTTGTAGCTCTAGTAGAAATTCTAACAAATTTTCTTTTCTGATTTGATAACTGCTGTGTTTTGATATTAACTTTAAATTGTGCAAAGCTCTCATCTAGATCAGTCGATGTAATTTTCTTTTTGGCTAACCATTTCTTAGAGTAAATTAGATTTATCTATAATTAAAGCAAAATTTGGCTGAAAATTTTAATTAATGTCTTCACTGAAGATGTGATTTCTATGATAAACCTGTGTAATGGTAAGTGTTGGCATGCTGTTGTCAACTTCAGTACCATTTTTTGTGTGAGCATCTCTTGTGGTGTTTAGAATAAAGTTAATTTTTCCTATTTCATTTTTAAACAAGACCAATGTCTGTAAACAACTTGCTGTGCAGTGCTACAGTTGAAGTAAATCACTTCTTTCAAGATTGAGGAGAATTATCATTCTTACTGATATTTGAATTTGACCTGCTAAAAAGTCTAAGCCTACTTTCTGATAGACTGCGATATAATGTGTACAATGAATGTCTAATGAATTGTAACCCTTAATCAGTATCCTTTTTTTTTCCCCTTGTTCCAACATCACTGAAATTTCAGCTCAAACCACTTCCAAATGCTACTGTTAAAACTTAACACTGTTGAATTTGAATTAGAGGGTTTTTTCATAATTTTGAGTTGAAGTAGAGGAAAACTCACCATTTCTGCTAACAGTACAATGAAAGCAAGCCTGAAGATGAAAATCAAGGTTTATATGGACAAATCCTAAATTTTACAATTTGCCTCCCCTCCCTCCCTCGCTCTTGTCTGAGTTGTGCTAGATGAAATAGGTTAAAAATTAATGCAATTTGGGTATTTTTTTTTTTTAAGAAGATCAAAAAAGAGGCAGCTTGGAATAGATTAATTCAAATGTCCTGAAAGGAAACAGGGAAAATTCATAATCCTGCAGAGGCAGAAATCAATCTCCAATTTGAGTTGATTATCTGAGAAGACTATTTTGAAGTTAGTTCATATTAGAATAAAATCTAGAAGTCTGGAAAACTGAGTATTCTGTGAAAAGAATATATAATGTCCTAGGTACACACACAATACTAAAGAGAAATAAATCTAAAGTACCAAAAAAAAAAAAAAGTGAGTGGAGAAAGATGGTGAAGTTCCTGTTTCATTCTCCTGTGAAATAGAATCTTGAAGTAGTGAGGTTGGACTGTGCCTTGTTTCTCTTGGTTCTATCCTCCCAGCTCTCAATGAATGAAATAAGGTTCATGGCAGGCTTCTCCAGTTTTCCTTTGAGAAGGGTATTTGGGGGGAGGCACCTCCCTGATAGGGAGATCATTTGGTGATATTTATGAAGAGAGAAGAGCTCCAGTTCCTTAGGTTTGGTTTATGTTTTATATCTTTTCTGGGCAAGAGCACAAGACGGGAAAGAAGCTTGAAAATGGCATTGTTTTCAGAGGGCTAAGAGGACATTTTGGAGAAATCAGCTGCACAGTATTGGTGAGCTTGAGATGCAGGGCAGAGGCCTGATTTAAATGAACTTTTTCCAGTCTAGAGGCTCTATAGTTAAGAAGAAAATACACTAGCACAAAAAGTTGGTTTGTTACTAGCTTTAAGATTGGAGGATGAGAATGGCATTATTATATTGGTACAGTCAAAGCCAATCTGTTGAACAGACCAGTCACTGTTTGGGCCGAAGTCTACATTTGCTCAAGTGATCTAAATCTTCCACATCTTCAAACTTTCCATGCCCAGGTGAAGAGAAGTGGAAGCTGACTTCCATTAGACTTCTTCCAGTGGGGGGTTATACAATTGAGAGGACTGTGAAAGGGACTACCTGCCTATGTGAATTAGGATAGTATCTTAGTTTCAGTAACACAGAACTATAGAAATACTGTGGAAATGGAAAAGAAATAGTAACTTTATCTTCTGCTTTTTCTACAGAAGTTAAGTGGTAATGAGCTTAGGCTCGGAGAGCATTTGTCTGACCCATAAAATGTTGTAGAGGATTGTAAACTGTCAAGTTTTTGTGTTCACGAGTGTCAAAATATTTTGATTCTATTCTTATTTTACACTTCCACAATATAAAAATCCAATGCAATTTGACAAATTTTTAGTTTAAGTATGCTTTGATTTCATGACAATGGTAAGCCTCAAGTTGTGGCATATAGCCTTTTTTAGGTATTAAGGGTTCAGAAAAATCCCAAGTGGTATCATTGGCTCAAAGTTGTCTGCAGAATAGTTGAAGAACTGTGGCCCAAAAGTGACTCACTGCATTGGAAAAAAAACAGATTTTCAAAACTTGAGTTTATTGGTACACCGGTTGTCTTGGTTTGGACTGAAATAGAGTTAATATTCCTTTTCAGTGACTAGATGAGTGCTGTGTTTTGGATTTAGCTTTGGGTTTGGTATGGGAAGAATGCTGATAGCACACTAATGTTTTCAGCTGCTACCGAGACTTCAAGGACTCTCTGACTCCTCATGTTCTGCCTGTGCTCAAGGGCACAGGGAGCAGGGAGGGAGCACGGCCACAGCACCTGACCCTAACTGGCCAGTAAAATATTCCATATCATGGAACCTCATGCTCACTATATAGAGGAGGGGTGGTCGGGAAGGGGCTCGCTCTCTCGCTTCCGGGATTGTGATCGTGGGATCTTGGTATCTCGGGGTCGCTGGCCGGGAACGGGCTGGATATTGGTTAGTGGGTGGTGAGCAATTACGTTGTGCATTGTCTGTTTATATATTTCTTTTTTTTTTTTTTCCTCGTCATTGTTCTCGTTTTATTGCCATTATTAAACTGTTCCTATCTCAGCCTGCGAGTCTCCTTTCACCCTTCTAATTCCCTCCTCCATTCCCAGGTGGGGAGGGGGAAGGGAGGGTGACCAGCTGCGGTGGTTGGCTGCCAACCAGGCCCAAACCACGACATCAGTGTTTGAGGGATCATAATTTAGGTTAATCTTTGCATCTGGAACCATGGTAGGATAGCAATCTAGTTATTGAATGTAACCATTTTTTTCAATGATGGAAATATTTCTAGCAACAAACTTGCTGCACTGTGCAACATTGAACCTTGTGTTATAAATTTTGTGGTTAATCTCAATATGGCACAATTCCTGTTGTACTAAAATAATTTGGACTTTATAGTATCTAGTACAGATACAGACAATACCAGTATCAGTATTTGATATTTTAATACATGTTTATATCTTCCTTAAGCTCAAAGCTTGTATTAATACATTCGTTTTGTCATAGATATATGTTTGTATATCCATTTCATTCTGTCTTCACTCATAGGTTCTGGTTCACCAAACAATTCTGATGATGATCAAAAAATGAATAATTTTATAGAAAAGGGTACAGTATTTTTCTTTTCTACAGTCTTATTTTTTTCAGTTCATCTTTTGATACACTTAGATTGATCTTTTTTTATTAAAATATTATTTACAGTGAAGACCAAAAGCAGAAAGTTTTCCAAGATGGTAGCCAATGACATAGGTAGGAACTAGAAAAATTCTGCTCTGTTCCTAATCCAGTGCCTTACTCTATGCAACACTAACCCAGCAGCAAAAAAAAAAAAAAAAAACCAAAACCAATAAAATTCAAATTTCAATGCAAGTTATTAATTTTTCATTCTTTATGCTAATTGGTAATTCTATGGGCTGCTTCTATACTAAATACACTGGGCACAATTTTTAAGAAAATCAAAGATATTGGTGGTTTTAATTCTCTGATTTTACAATTGTCCTTCTCTATCTTCTGGATGGGTGAAATTCTAATCCGTACTAAGAGTTCAGTCTATGCAAGTCACAACATTATTCCAATACTTTAGCAAAGGTAGAGTCTGTTTGACAACATGTGGATTATTTAATATCTGCTTGTGTTGCATTCATAGCCATATGGTCAGATTTTCATATGACTATGGTCAAGATAGAGGTAGTATCATGTTTTCATTTAATCATCTGGAAGTGGACTTGGCCATATACAGATATATAAGTACACCCTGTTACTGTTTCAGAACTGCATTTACTTTTTTGTATCCAACAGTGACACAATACCCTACCAGCTCCAGACTTGTGTCTTAAAAATTTGCTGACAAAATTGCCTTGGAATATGTTGTATGCAAGTAGATTGAACCCTTTTATGATTGGAATGGAAATTAACTCTGCTTCTGACAAGTGTCATTAAATAAATGAAGGCAAGAGTCTGTATGGTTTAATTTTTGGAAAGGGACTCTTTTTCCTTAATTTGGGATATGGTTATTTTAATTTCAGAATCACTGTGTTAATGGTTCATTTTGTTTTCATTTAGTACATTAGTATATCACTAGTGACAGGAGGATTTATCTCAGTCAAATCGAAAGGTTGAAACTACTTTATATAGTAAAACTGTGTGCTATACTACTCTTCTATAGGTTGTTTGGAACTGTTGGTTAAGGCTAGGGAGGAAGAGATTTCCTTTCCTGTAGTGTCCCTTTGATTTGCAGTTTAGCAATTTAACGTTTCTCCTCAACCATTAATCCGTTTCATTACAATTCAGTAATGGAGAAGAACAATCGGAACTCGGTGAGGTAAATATAAGTATGATGAAGTTGTCTTTGGAATCTGAGGTACATAATGAGGAAGAGCAAGAATATGCCCTTTCCTCAATGCTATGTTGAGCCCTCCTTGCAGAAAAGAAATTTTAGGGAAGATGAGTTCAGAGACAGTGGAAGTCTGAATTTAATTCAAGAAAGAAAATGGCTGTCAATATTATATTATGTCAGTTCATCTGTAATTATAAAAAAAAAAAAGAGTATCATTTAGAGTGCTGATTAATATGTTCTCCTAAAGGAAATTCAGGCTAACTAGAAACTTATGTTCAGTTCTTCTAATGAGAAAAACAACACTTAATCTTGTGCATGTTATGTCAATGTCTGTCAATGAGGTAACATTTCCCTTTTGCCCCAAAGCAGTCTCTTCTGAACTTAAAACAACCTATCTTGAGCAAAAAACATAGTATGTTTGAGTACAACTTCATTATTTTTTCACTTCTTTTCAAAGGCTAATGTTACAGTATTAATAAAATATTCTAATGACAATTCTATAGAACTACTGACATCAGTTTCAGCTTGAAGCCTTTCAACTGAAAGTATTGTCGATGTTTTTCACAGCTAAAAAAATAAAGCATTTGTTTGCAAGTAATGCATTCTTCAGGGTGCAAGTTAAACGCAGAGTTAATTGAGACAATAATGCATTTGACATGCAGTTCAAGTGTCTCACAGTCAGCCCATACTGTGATTTGTGTAACTTGCAGAGTTTGTTGGAAGTTTGAAGAAAATTATTATTTTATCTGCATTCTGTTAGAGTTTTGAGTGGTTCAGTGCTGTGGACTGAATGTTCTTTTTTCACTGATGTGTTTTCTATACCTTATCTGGCATGTTTACTATGCATGGCTCTTTCTGAACTTACAGTCTAAGTTCTTCCATATAAGAAAAATATGTCTTCTTCAGTGTTAGTAGTTGCATGGTTTTGCGTTTCATTGTTTAAAACCTGAACTGCCGACTAAATGTGAATAGACAATGAGATTTGTAAAATGTGTCACTGTCATTAACTTCAGCATGTTGTATGAAACAAATTGTTTACCATCAGCAGCGTTCACATGGATAAATTCAATGTGTGTAGCATGATTGTAGCTCTTCGCACTGGCATTTAGTGCAGTCAGTTCAAGTTCTTTCATTCTTTGTCAATGCATGAAATATAACCTATCAAATGGATTGCAAAACAGAACAAAAATTATTTACATAAATAATTGCAGTTGCTGCTAATATCATTCTTGTGGTTTTTGTCACATCGGAACAGCGAGTTAAGGGAATACTGCTTGCAAAGTGCGAAGTAATATCATTTTAGTGATAGGCCTGTAAGGTGGTAGCATAAATACGCATGCATTTAGAAATATGAAGCCTGTGACAATTTAATCACTTTATTTAAACTTATGTAGAGACATCTTAATTTCCACAGATATCGTTAGTGACAGTATTGGACAAGAATTCTTGCTTCATCAAAAGATCAAAAACCATCTAAGACTGCAACAATAGCATAAACAAAGCAAAATGTAAATACTTCATGTAACAACACTTCAGCTTTGCCATATATACTATTAAGATCAGTTGGTCTTCTGTTTTTTTCCAAGTACTCAGTTGTGAATGTTCCATGCTAAGGAATGGATAATAACTCAATTTAAAGACCTGTTGTGAATATGTTGCTTTTAGGTCACAGTTCCCTTTATTTGCATTGGAGGTGAACTTTGGAGAAGTTGCAATTACCTTGGATATATGGAGATACTTGATTTAAATAACCAATTCTAGAAATTACAGAAAATACTGTGGCCATTATTAAAAGAAGTCGTTTCTCTTAGGAATGGCAAATATTTGAAAGTATAAATATCGTGCTGTGAAGTTGTACAGAGATGTGAAGTCTACCCATACATAGATGAATTTACAGGAAGAATTAGTAGGAAGTATTTCATTTGTAAGCCTGTGTCATTTTTATAGAAATGCATTGTGATCCAACTTCATTGGAAGCAAAATCTTAAGCTGTTGTACTCATTCTTTGGTCACTTAATTATTTGGCATGGAGGTACACGCGAATATATGGCTACAAATAAGGTCAGAAGTTAAGAGGTATTCTAATGTCCATTTCTCATTTCTAGAAGAAGCATTAGTAAAGGTGTATGCAAAATACTGTAGACTAAGATCTTCATAACTGTTTCAGTAGGCTACATGTCACATACTTTTCAGGAAAATTGGTTTTATTTATTTTCTGCAGTTTATAGATTTAAAAACAATTGCAAACAATATTAATAGGCAGATCTAAGCAGAGTAGCTTTATTTCCAAACTTCTATAATCCCTGCTGTTACTATTGACATACAGTTTCTCACATGTTACATTCTAAGCATACACCTAAGTTTTTCAAACAGTGCTAAAGTCATTGACTGTTAATGCTGTTTGCATGCAATCGAATCTTAAGATGCTCATAAGTTCTCATTTTTTCTATTGCCAGAGTTAAGATTGTTTCTTCCAATGTTTTTAATACTTTGATCTAATTTTGCATATATCAAGTACATCTTTTCTTACATTCTCTTGTAAAATGATTTTATTATTCTTAAATCAAATTTAGAGATTTCAGCATTGATAATTTCTTTATTGTACTGTCACCAGCACAATATTCAACTCTTTAAGCATCTTGAAATTAGTTCTGAATATTGTACTCTAAATTCTGCATAGTTGCCAAATATAGAATAATTTGGGAACTTTGGTTTGTGTAACATTCGAAGTTTCTTATTTATTTTACATGAAATGTTAAATGAAATAGGCTTTATGTAAACTGTTCTCTGTCAAAACACCAAGATGATTATCTCCTTTATAACATTTAGAATTATTTTTTTGAAAGGGTTTAGACTATTTCCTTAAATAAGGAATGGATGAGAAATCACTATATCTTTCAAACCAATGTGCTATACTTCGTTCAGGACAACACAATGCAAATAAAATATCATTATTACTTTTAAGTCACAGATTCCTACTGATAGCTTAGTTATGTCTCAGCCTTCAGGTTTTCTTCACTGAATTGGTTGAGCCTGCTATGCTGAAATATAACATGCTAAGCCAAGGTACCCTTTCATATTTTAACATCTGCCCCCTCAAGCCTGACCTGTGAGAAATCTCCAAGAATTCTGAACATTGTTTTTGGACAGTTCTCTAATATCATAGTCGTATATGTTACTGACTTAATTATATATATTATCAATAGAAAGAATGTTTGTGTGCCTGTGTATGACTCTAGGTTTTCTAATTTAGAGTACTAAATGTAGGTCTAAACACAGCCAAAAAACAGAGATTGTTGCCTTGAGCAGCAGTGTGCCAGGAGGAGTAAAATGGCTCCCGAGTCTCTGTCTCCTTGCCTCTCACAAGCTGCGGAAGGGTAGTCTTGTCTAAAAATACTGCAGCAACCACCATCCCACCAGGAGGGGTATTAAGCTCTGGGAGGACAGTGACTGTGTGAGGTCAGCAGCACCCAGCAGGAGCAGGCACCATCGCCCTTGCCCTGGTGTACAACTTGAGTAAAAGGCCTGACATTGAGAGCTCTCTCTGTAGATCTCCATCCTATCTTTTCCATTTCTCTGATTTATGTCTTTTGTGGCATAGAAGTTGTCTAGGATGTTGCTGGTTTTCATCTGAGGCATAGCAAAACTGTATTTTCCAAAACTATTGTAAACCTTAATCCAGATATGAATACAAGCAGGGTATTTTTGTACTAAGTAATGTTACTTAAAAATGACTTAGCTGGTGAAATGTTCTTACTTTCTTAATGCATATTTAGGCACTTTTTTCTTTAAACACAAGATGGCACTACTGCTGTTTAAATAGGTTCTTGTTTCCTATTTACATTTGAATTATTGTGGTTTTTGACACAATGTACATTTTGAGATGTGTTTTTTTGTGTAGCACATTAATTCATTATTTCAAGCAATGGCATCCTCTTTAACAATTCACGTATCATCTTGTCCCATTAATGAGGCATAGGTCAGTGTTTATAGAAAATGTCTGACAAATTTGTTTTACTGTACCAACCTAGTTCACACAGCTAGCTTTCCACTGAGGAACAAAAAGCAAAAACTGTGGATTGACTCCTAATCCAACACACTTGCCTGTACTTATTATTACCTGTTATATTACCTGTTACCTAGTATCTTATTTTTTGGGACAGTTTTCTCTAAGTTGTTAAAATCGTGTTAAACATTTCTATTTGAAAAGCCAAAAGTGACTGCTCTGGTCTTCAAAGTGGCTGAGTTAATTAATCATTGCTGGTATTCACACATGGTAAAAGCTGTGAAAAGCCAAAAATAACTCAAATTATTTTCTGTGTGCATCCTTGAACTTTTGTTTACTATCTCAGCTTTTATGATTTACATGTCTAACACAGAAAACAAGTTTTATGATGACGAACGCTCATCATGTAAATCACAATTCCAGATGAGGTTTCATGATCTCTTTTCAAGCTGATGTAAATTCAAGCTGACAGCATAAAGATGGATTCCTGGTCGCTAGTGCTGTGTCGTACCACGGTTTTCTGTTTGCATAGCTGAGCTCTGATCTGAATCAGGAGTTGATTTTGTTGAAAACAGCCACCATTAGAAACTTCTTTTAGATGAGTTTTGACCTCACCATTAAGCTAGGCAGATGTCAACGCCAGTGCAAGGATGAGGGTAAAAAACATGTAGTCAGACTGCCCTTTTCAGTTTCAGCATGCACTAAAATAAGTTAGTGACTAGCATTTCAGTCTGGGAGTAAGTAACGTCAATTTAATTTGAATAGGACATACTTTGTAACATTGGCACATGAGGGAAATTAGAAGATTATTTCTGGAGTCTTATTCTCAAATTTTTATAACGTATGACAGGAATAAAGCTGTCCAACTATTCCGATAACTATAATTTGTAATATTGATGAAGATAATTGATGGTACAATGAAGTATTTCACTTTTTGAAGGAGTGGAAGTAACTTTAAATCACATGCTGTTCTTCAGGATATGTAGAAAACAGAATGATTTCTGTTAAAATTATAATTAGAATTAGTTAACTACCTTTTTAGCTGAAAGAAGCAGCAAGATTCAGGCTGATTTACGGCTGGTATCCATTACAAGGTACTCCTAGAATTAGGTGGTTCTCAACATCTACTTTAGATAGAGAAGTATTACCCTTACAAGATAGTGAATTAAATGATATATTGAAATTCAAGCATGTGTCTGGGAAATAAATTCAGAATCTACCCCTGGTCTAGTAGTTAAGATACATCAAAATTATTCCTTCTCCAGTAATTCTTGAAAGAAACATGGAAAAGGGATATATAGATACTAGTTTCCTAGTGACATCTATTATGTCAGCATTTGTTTAGTATTGTACTGCATTTTAAATGGACCACAAGATTTACATTACTATAAAGAGAATTTTCCAAGTTATGGATGAGTTCAGGTGTTATTTTTTAATTCAGCAATATTATCAAAATTATACTATCTCTTGTTTTACAGTGTTGCAAGTGTTTGTATGCTGCTGATTTTATAATTATTCTCTGTAACATTTTTATTCTTCTAAGGTTGTGGCTTGCATCTCAGATTACTAGCATTTTACATATGCGTTAATGTTTTAGTGTAATTAAAAGTTCATTTTTTCCTCTATTTTAAATATCTCAGGTTTGATCAGGAAGTAGGGCAGAAGAAGAGGGAATGAGAAGTTAAATTTATGTAAATTTCAGTGCACATTCTTGCAATAGCCAAGAGTCTGTGTTTTGTCCTCTCACCTGAGGAGATAAAACTTGAGGTTGAGCCAGAGCAAAATTCATCCAATCCATCAAGTCCTGCCTGAAGCCTGAAGAGAAATGAAGCTTGGCAAAAGTAATAAAATTCTGTATTTGGGGATTTTGGTATCTACCATGTTTTGGTTTTGCTCCGTTCCCTTGTGGAAGTGAGGCTCTGCTTTATTAAAAATCCTGTTAAGTACTGCTATTAATACATTGTTGTTTATTACATTAAATATTGGGAAAGAAGCAAATAAAGGCCAGCAGAATCATGTTTAATCTTTTTTAAAAAAAAGATATACTTCACTTTTCAGCAAAGATGTCCAGGAAGCTAAGTTTGCCAACTGAGTTAAAGCCTGATTTAGGTAAGTTTACATAGTTGATTTTATTTTTACTAAAACTGTTTTACAGAATGCGAGTATGTTAGAGTCCTAAATTATGTAAACTATCATGACTTTATGTTGCATTTATCTGAAGTGTGGAACTAAAATATTGATTCCACTACTTTTGGGGGCTCTCAAGCACGAAATGACATTGCTGTCATCATAAGGTAAGCCTGCAAATCTGGTACATGGCTTATCAAGCTTTCATCATAATTTTTAGGCATCTGTCACTCACTTTATCAATAGTGCTGTGATATCCAAAGCGTGAATAAACAGGTAACATAAGGTAAATTGCTGCCTGTTTAGAACCATCTGATAGATTTTAAATTGAAAAATTAAACATCTTAAGAATAACAGGATATGTTGAGGTCCACTCAACAAATAGTTGGACGTAGTTTTACAAGTGTTAATTGTCTTGTGACCACTCTCTCTAAATGAAAATAATATACAGCTGTTTGAATGGATGACCAGTCTGAGAATTTCCTTTTGCTTGAAAAAGCACAGTAATTTTTTTATATAGGAAGCAGTTCAGTTATGAAGACTGTAGTACTAAAGGTCATTATATTGCATAACTCAAAACAGCATACAACTGAGTAGATTTATTATTTATTTTAGTACTTTGACTGCCAGCTTGTAGATCAAATCTGGCTTCCTTGCCTTGTTCTCTAAAAGATGATGGGGGACAGCTGTAGACCTACATCAGTAGATACAGCCAGAATGTGAAAGCTGCTTTCTGCCTGCCACAGCTAGCTCCTCCTCCTGCAGCAGAATTTCTACCACAACCCCAGCAAAAGACAGACCAAGGTCAGACTGGCAGCTGCTGAACTGTGTATTTGACAACTGCTGCTATCAGCAAGGAAAGCGCCCATGGCACCAGAATATCCCGAAACTGAGCTGGACCAGCCTGCTGTACAATTTACAATTGCTGCTTGCTCCACTCAGAGAAATGTGAAGTTGGAAGGAACCCTCAGAGATCCTTTAATCCACTGCTATGGCAAGGATCCAGATGCTGACAGTTTAACCTCTCATCTATTTATGAGCCTCCAATAAATAAGTTTTTAGAACAAAACCCAGATAGAAAGTTCCAATGTTTTATAGTTAGACAAATTTCCAGTTATTGAATCAGTCTTCCTTGGTTCCATATTAACTTTTTCTTGTGCTTTCCACAATGAACAGGAATAACAAGTGCTCCCTATCTTTTTGTAGCCATCTTTTATGCTGTTGAAAGCTGTCATCATATCTCTAATCTTCATTTTTGCAGATTTTTTTTTTTAACAAAATTCAGTTACTTCTCCTTTTTTTATGTTATGTTGCCTAAATCTCAGATGGCTTCTGTTAACTGTCTCTGGACTTGGAATTTTTCTTTGTTTTTCTAAAAATCTTGTGCCAAGAACTAGAGGGATTTAACTGCGACCTTGTTAGCATGAAAGAGCAGAAAAATTTTATTTGTCTTTTCAATCTGTTTCTGTTCTTCCTTACTATGTTTACTAATGGCTTAGGGATTATTCCATTTTAGGGTGAATTTTATCATACTTTGCAAACTGGAACACGTTTGTACTTAAACATTATCGAATACATTCTAATTCTACTGTTTTACTCCCTGTTATTTGATAGCAATAAGTACTTAGAAGTGTTCTTCTTTTAAATGAAGACTGGAGAAAAGAGAATGCTGAAATTCTTTCAACATTTTCCAATCCTGACAGTTTCAGCATTTTCTACGTCATTTTAATATTTGCTATTCTTTCTACTGAAATAATGTTTGGGTTTTTTTTTTGTCATCTGACTTCTGGTATACTTATAAAATAGTTTGTACCTTCTGAATTCTAATAGCCTTTGACGGGTTTTGCTTGACTTTGCACGTGTGTAGATATCTGCACTTAAACACCTCATGTTGTTCTGTGTAAAATTCTTCTAGCTATTCAGGTCTGTACTATAACTCCCTTAGGCAATCATAACACTTTTTTTAATTTATATATTTTTTCATATTGAGATAGTTTTTGCAGTGTTCTTCACATATTATTAGCTTGCTTGTATATTTTTGTCACTCGTGGCCATATATACTGGCTCTAGGAGACAGTTGAAATACTTTTATCCAAAGTCCATTATCCTTATGATTTTCTCCCCTTCCTTTCCATGGCTTCTTGAAACCTACTCTTCCACGATGTCATTCTTTCAAATTACTTTTCTGTCTTTAGATCTTTAACCTACCCATTTTCTTCCCTAAATAGCCAAACCAAAATCTAAAGTATGTGCTTCTGTATTTATCCTCCGCTTTCTAAAACAGGAGTTATCTTGAACATACTCTAGTCTGTATTATACCATTGCTTTTCAGTGTTGTAATCCAGATGATTAAGTTGCTATTGCCACTAGTTCTTATCCTTTGGTTTAGTTCCTCAAGAGCCTCATCCTTCTGATGACATGTTATGTAGTGGGTCACCATGCTGTTGTTCCTTCCTCTTCATCTGAAACTAATCTATTAACAAACCATAGTCTCTTCCTTGTCTTCATGATAATTAGTATGTATCAAAGCAGTTAAAGTCTTTACCCTCAGTTCTCTCTTCTGAACAAGTTGTCCACTCTCCACACTGCCTGTATTGTCTGGCAAGTTAATTTTTATGGGTTTTTTTCCTGTCCATTCCAATCCTTCTGGAATTTGTACGCATGCTCTTCAAGTATTCAACCAGTTGCAACTCAACAGATGCACATTTAATTTTATGCCTATTGCAGTTAACCTATGATTATATTCAGACTGACTAATCCATGGTAGAGTTGAAAAAACAATAAGTTAGTAAATATTCAAGCCTGAAGAAACAATCATCTTAAGAGGTTGTGGTCATTAGAATTATAAAAACAAATAATCGTTTTCATTGTTTTACTCTGGATTTGATTTTTTTTTTTTTAAATGTGAAAACTTAGGATGTCAACATCTGAGTGGTTGACCTAGTTTCTTTCTATAATACGTTTCACATTTGACTTCTCATTCCAACAAGGATAGAAGAATTATTGTCATGCTGAATTTTAGCCAAGTATCTCCTAAAAAGATTCACTGTTTGTGTTGAGTAGATGCTTGCATTTCATCAGTTGAAATCTAGTTTTTATGTTTTTTCAAATGCACGTTAGATGTTCTTCACAGAATGTTTTGCAATAATTTAATGAAATTAACATGGTGATGCTTCCAGAAAGTGTGTGGTTAAATGTTGCTTTTTAGCTCTTAATCCTGCTTGAAAGTTGCCAACTGCATCTATACTCTACCCAAAGATCCAAAACAATAGCTGAATTTTTTTAAGTCATGATATAAATTGCATCAAAATTTTACCAGTAAGGGTTGTTTTGTGATAAATTTTGGAATGATGAGTTAAAACTAATGCACTAATTCATGAATACACAGATAAATTCAGACATGCTAATGTTTTTAAGTGTTGCCACATGGACAGACAGCACACAGCTAGAATGGATCAGCTTTTGTTATTATTAGAATTCATCCTCTGTCAACAGAACCTTATTTACTAAGCAGTGAGAGACGTCCTGAAAAGTTTTAGTGCCATTTCTAGCACCACACTACAGTATTCAAAATGGAAATATTCAGCTTTCCATACCTGTTCCAGGTGGCATTGGGTAGCATTTGATGTTTCTTTTACTCAAAGTTTGGATGTGGGTAAATAGCCAGTTAGATCTCCTCCGTACAGTTTCCTAAAGTGGGACAATATTATTATGAGTCATTACAGGTTACATGTTATCATGCTGTCTGCAGTTCTTAAAGTAAAATAGTTGCATTTTCATAAGATTACTATTAATATTCCATGGAAGCAAATATTTTTTAATCTGATCAGTGAACTAATTAGGAGAGAGGTTTGTAATTCAGTTTTTTTAAAGAGGATTCCTGATTGATGATGACTGTTATTCTCTGTCTCAAGAAGACAGAAATATACATAACAGTTGTTCATGACAGTTACCTAATGGCAACCTCTCCAAAAAAAGATTGGGCACTTTGTTCAGGACAGTGTTGAAAATTGGGCTGAAAGTAAATGTGACTAATGAAAAGTACAGGAGTAATAATTAATTGAGCTGTAGTTAGTATATATTTCATGCTAAAGAACAAAACAGAAAACCTGTATTCTGTTAAACCCTGCATTTTGCCATTCATTTTAATTAATACTGATTTATTTTCAGATGTCAAAGACAACTCTTTCAGTCGATCCCGGAGTTCTAGTGTAACTAGCATTGATAAAGAGACACGCGAGGCAATTTCAGCTCTTCATTTTTGTGAGACTTTCACAAGAAAGGCTGATACATCGCCTTCCCCATGCCTGTGGGTTGGCACCACGCTGGGTACAGTGCTTGTCATTGGACTGAACTTACCCCCAGGAGGAGAGCAAAGACTTCTTCAGCCAGTAATTGTTTCTCCTAGTGGTATGTACAAAGCCGATGGGCTAAAGTATATCTTGATAAAGTATTATTGTTCTTTATCTTTTTTAAATAAATAGTTTTTCTCAAGTATGGATTAATTAAAAATTAATACATACTCCATTGATCTAGCTACTAAGGTAATCTAAATTGTTTGTTACTGGAGCTTTGAAATTGCAAAGTTGAAAATATGATCTCATATAATACAAAAATACCACTTAAATGTATACTTGCTGAGAAAAGCATGTTCTCTAACATTAACGTGGTATCTGGCAATTGTTTAACAGAGATAGAGTAAGAGATGAGTATTTCAAATGCTCAATTTTTTTTTAGTTAGTCATGAGGTAGAAAACTTTCAGTTTTCCTTCATCGTGAAAAGGGAATACAAATTAAGGGTTGTGTATTGAACAACTAACTTTAAATATTAGTGGCAAAATATTCCTTTCAATTGATGTGAGAGGTCTTGTATCTTGTTTTTCTGATACACAGTGACTGATTTTGTTTTAATTATACATTAATGGTTTGCTGAATATGCTGTTAGGCATAGATTTAGCTTTCCCACTACCACTGTCTCATGCAGAATGTGCTGCTTTGTTCACACAGATGCTATCAGGTCATGCAAATTGTACTGCTATTTGACTGAAATAGTGATTAGGAATAGCGTGACCTCTAGACCATATGTGTGGCATGTGCTTATTGAGTATGGTACAGTAGCAGTATTCAGATTTGGTAACGCCTGATCATAAAGGCAAGGCTGGAGACTAGACAGTATGTTTAATCACTGTATCTGTAGCATAAACCTTAAAAGATACTTCCATGTGTATGATTTTGTTGTTGTTCTTAGAAAACATTAATGGATTTACATATGTGTGAATAAATATAAGTAAAATAAGAAATGTATTAGCTTAAGATCTGGCCTACAGAGGCAATGATTTAAACAGTGGGGAGGAAAAACATTTCCTCTTCCATTTTATGCTAGAGAAGTGGATTCAAGCATGAACTGCAGGGAGGAAAAACCACACATGTTTGTTGCTGAACCTGGCTGTATTGAAGAAAAAGGAGGTGCTCACCTTTGACTAATAACATTTATTGTTGATATTAAGCATACTGTGTACTCCTCAAGAGAATGAAATTAGTTGCATTTATGACACTGAACTTGAATACAAATGTGTATTCCAGCTTGTCTCTCTTAATAAATGTATACATTTCTGTTGAAGGTAATGGAAGCATTTGCATGCATTTAACTCTTGAAAACAGGTTTAACATTTTCTTGAGTATGTATGTCCTCTTACAGGTGCTTCATTTGTTTTTAGATAAACATCCAAAAGTTTTGGTATGTAAGTTTTGCTACAGAGGCAAGCCCAAGTTTTTAGTGGTTTTTGTTGTGGTTTGTTTTATTTTGTTTTGGGTTTTTTATTTTTTTGTGGTTTTTTGTTTTGTTTTGGTTTGTTTTTTTGTTTTGTTTTGTTTTTTTTTGGTGCTAGCTTCTTAAAGGAGTATTTTGTATCTTGAAAGACAATTTAGGAGAACTATTTTAGAAATGTGCTCAACTTCTTTTTCCTAGGAACCATCCTGAGGCTAAAAGGGGCAATCCTCAGAATGGCTTTCCTGGATACCACAGGATCTTTGGTCCCACCAGCACATGAACCCTGGAGAGAACACAATGTTCCTGAAGATAAAGATGAAAAAGATAAATCAAAAAAGCGACGACCTGTCTCAGTGTCCCCCTCTTCCTCTCAGGAAATCAGTGAAAACCAATATGCAGTGATATGTTCGGAAAAGCAAGCAAAAGTTATATCACTGCCATCCCAGAACTGTATTTATAAGCAAAACATAACAGAGACTTCTTTTGTTCTTCGTGGAGATATTGTGTCAATGAGTAACAGTATCTGCCTTGCATGTTTCTGTGCCAATGGACATATTATGACTTTTAGGTAAGACCTGTTTGATAGTAATTTAAATATATAAAAAAAAAAAAAAAAAAGTATCATGATAGATAAAAAAGTTTCCTCTTTCCATAAGATATGAATTTAAAAAAAAATAGTTTACATTCACTCAGTGTTAATGAACCTCTAACACTTGGGCCTGGATAATTTTGATTATGCCTTCCTATTAGTTATGCATTTAACACATGAAGTTTACCAGTTTAGCTGAAGCTATCCTGATTCAACAGATAGTTCCAAACATGTGATACAGGTCTGTGAGTTGATGAAGTTTGTCTCAAAGGTGAATTTACTCCCTGATGAAGAAAACTGCCTTGAGCCAGACCTTCAACTGGTACCTGACCACAACTCTGTATTTTTGTGCGGCTGTTTGCATCATACTCATGCTTCATGCTTACCAGTCTGTTGTGTAGATTGCTCATGTCTTAAAGGCCTTAAACTCAGGCTTTAAAGGCAAGATTAGTTCCTAGCAGTTGTAGTATGAAATAAGTCCTCTAAAGTAAGGGGGGTTTAAGTTATGAGTTCAAACATGTAAAAGTAAATTTTGAATGTATTTACATGTCACCTATGTAATTTTCTTGAATATTTCCAAATGATATTTTATTCTGAACAGCAGTGTGTATATACCTCTACCCTTGCACCTACATTTTAGTCATAGCTAATGCTAAGATGAACATGGAACATGGCATTATAAAATTATGCCAGTAAAATTCCTAAAAGGTTAATTTTAAGATTGTGAAAACAAGCTCTCTGTGTGAGAAATTGTCTAAAAAGATAATTCTTCAGGAAGTTGTTAGGAGTAAAACTAAAGCATACTACAGTTGAAAAATAAGTTTTGATTGTTAAGTCTGTTAACTCCATTGATGTATATTCCAGCATATGTTCTAAACATCTCTACAAAACGCTGCTCACCTTGCAGGTTAGGCACTGTTTTTTCCCTAGTTAAAACTCAACTTAATAATGCTCAGGTACTATATTGAAAAAAATCCTGTTTTCCTCAAGATTCATTTTGGTTTATAATGAACTTTGCGTAGGGATGGGTGCGAAATTATAAGTATTGAATAGTTACATTGTGTAGGAAAGTTGAACTCCCAAGGATTAACTTCATTTCATAACCATGAATTTCTGCTGGGAAGTGTACTTAACATCCTATTTGTGTAAAGTTTTCAGAGCACTGTATTGTACCCAAGATGCCCATTACTTACCTACTGATACAAATTTAGATAGGACTTATTCTGTTACAGATTTGTTTGATACTATGAAAATGGTATCATGGATGTCATGCTTGTCCTGTCTGCTTTTGTATTTTGTCTTGAAGCTGTAAGAAGGTTTTATGGTTCCACTGATCTGAAGCAAAGCACTCCCCTGTTACTATCTTACTCTTAGGAATATTCTAATATTCTTATTTGATACATGCATGGCAGAAATGTCATTTCTGGGTCACCTGCTTACAAGATAATATTGCTTTTTATTTCTTACATGTAGAACTTGCCTCCAAAGTAATGTTACCAGTTCTCCTTCCTTTCGTTTGTCATAGATGAAGTCTCCTAAGAGACAAATCCACAATCTGTAAAATGCAAGTTTAACATTTAGAAATCTCAGTATCATACAAAAAGAAAAAAACCTCAACACTTACTGTTGTGGTAACTACATCTTTTTTTTTTCATTGCTTTTGGCTTCACTTTGCCCCTTTACTGCTTTTTTTGGTTTCTAGAAATAATAATCTTATGCAGATGGTATCTGCAACAGAAGCTGCTTAATGTGGTGTTGGTACATTTGCAGCTAACATCTTGTGTAAATTACGTTTTTACAAAAATTTCACAGGGGAAGTTTTTGAGACAGCAATTTATTTTGTGTTCTATTTACCAAGCCATCAGTTGTTCAGTTACTTCTTGCATTTATTATTACTTAAAGGGAAAGGAATGTTTGGTAGTGAGAGCATTGTAACAGAGTGAGTGTGCTGCATCTGTTCTTCAGTAGCTTGATGCAGTAAGTACTGCAGTTACCGTGCAGAATCAGAAAATACAAGGTAAGTAAACTTTGCTCTAAGAGGACTTCCTCTTAAATATACAGTCAGACAAAAAAGGTGGACATAATTTATAAGATTGTTTGAGGCTACTTAATTGTTTTCCTTTGAAAGCACACCCCTGCATATTTCTAATTGTTTTTGACAAGAGATCTTTTGGACTTGTATTTTCAGTCTCACCTGAGAAAAGAGGCAGAATGTTTAGTTGTAAGCTTTTGGTAAATACTTACCAAAATACTTTGTTAGTAATTACTGAGTAATGTTTTAAGTGAATCTGTGATTTACATGCTCAGAGTATCATTTAAATGATCCTTTTAAACACATCTGATGCAGATATTTAAATTTTATTTCTAAGGTGCTACCTCGAAAAAATCTTGTATTTAAGTTTCGAGATTTTGTAATTGCATTAAATGATACCCTGTTTATGTGGTATTTGTGCAGATGGTGAAGAGAAAAATGATATATTGTGGTTTAAAAATTATCCATTTGATCAATAATAGACAATCTTGCTATATTTAATGGGGCTTTATTTAATTCTTTTTCTTAAGTTTGCCAAGCTTAAGGCCATTGTTGGATGTATATTACCTGCCACTCACCAATATGCGAATAGCCAGAACATTCTGCTTCACCAATAATGGACAAGCACTCTATCTTGTCTCACCAACTGAAATACAGAGGCTCACCTACAGCCAAGAAACATGTGAAAATCTTCAGGTAATGAATTAAAAAAAAATAATTACTGTTTTCTTAGATATGCTCTGAGGTTCGTGGTTGTAGATTGAGGATGCTTGCAGTAATTATGTTTGTCGTAAAGCTAAGCAGTTTGGCTTTTGTGCTTTGATTATTCTCACTGTAGAGTCTGATTCAGGATAAATCACTTCTACTCTTAATTTTACTGTCTCACCCATCCTCTTGTATTTGAAACAATTTCTTATTTAATTTCCTTTTTGATCAATAGACAGTTTCCTTGTTTAACATGCAGTTAACAAAACTTATTTAATTGATACTGGTGGAGGTGAAGGCTGACATAAGTGGGGGATGCTAACTCAGGATACTTGAAGGAAGCTATTATGTTTCAGGGGTATTAACAGCTCAAAAAGATTGCCATGTTTCAGCTTGGAATTGTACAGAATACTGAAATAGCAGAGATGCAGGCTGTAAGCTCTACTGGGTATGAATATTTGTCAATTTAGTTTCAACAGAACAAAATCAGGAGTGTTGTCCAAGTTGTTAAGAGGCAAATACAGCTTTACTTGAACCCATTTCTTTGCTACTGAATTTAATGAGCTATAAGCTTGCAACTACCAGAACAGATGGTTTGGACAGATTTCTTAAGATGTTTTTATTTTTTTTATTTCCTAAGTTGCCTTGCAAAGGCAGATGCCTATTAAAGTATATTAATTTTGAAATTCAAATCCACAAAATAAATCCTTAAAGAGAAAGAATATTCCATTACTTTGTGTGTGAGACAACTTACGCCTTGTTGTATCTCTTCTTCATTGCAAAGGAAATGTTGGGTGAGCTCTTCACTCCTGTAGAAACACCAGAAGCACCGAACAGGGGGTTCTTTAAAGGCCTTTTTGGAGGAGGGGCACAGTCACTTGACAGAGAAGAACTCTGTAAGTTTTTAGTATTGATTATTTTTCTGGTATTTCTACCCAAGGAAGCCAGTGATCCTTGAGAAGTGTATTACTTGTGTTAATAGAACATTACACTTTTAAAGAGGAAAGTGAAAAGGGAAAGATAAATATTCTTTCGTAGCTTTTATATGTTGTACCCCTTGCTAACAAGATCGTAAAAACTTTGTACTGTTTTCTCACAGGCTCCTTTACCTCATTTATTCAGGAGTAGATTACAAAAAAAAAAATGGGATAACTGATCTTATTTTCATTCATCTTTATGAAGTGTATAGTACTGATTGTGATTTTCTTAATGCTGTTATAGTGAAAGGGGCTGTTTCTGGAGAACACTATTCTGGACAGTGAGAAAATTAAAACTTCATTCTGGTTCAGTTTATTTGCTAGATTCTTTTTCCTCATTTAACTTGGGCAGAGATGCCTTAGGAATGAGAGGAAGGACAGAACTGTGTGATAGTTCCATTCAGTCCTTTGTTCATAGGTCAGTAAAATTCAAATTTGGCAAAGCTTTTATTGCTTCATCATTTTCTCATTTTTTTTTGATTACAGCTTTTTTTTTTTTTTTTCACTGTGGTGGCATGCATCACTTTAATATATTTAAGGAAAATAACTTCCACTTATTTGGATATTTGCTAGATGAAACACCATATTATGCAAGTTTACTTCTAAGAAGAAATGTTTCCTTTTTAACATGAAACGTAGCTGTTAAAACAGACAAGGCTCCCTGGCAATCCTTTCTCTTTTATTGGTTCTTTTGATCTATCTAGTAAAAATTAAATTAGTCTTTACTGCTTGTGCCTGTACGTTTTGAACAAATATCAGATATTTAGAGGTCACTTTCTGCATTAAAAATACCATTTGTATTTATATATGTGTAATACTTGAAAAGGTTGGTCAAGTATTCTATTAGAGAAAATTGTGTGCACAAATTGTATGTTTAATTAGTGTGACTGGGACAAGGAAAAACTGCCTGATCATGGCAACAGAATAGCAGTATTGTAACTTTAGAAGCTATCTTTACATCATTTCAAGTTTCCACCATCACATTTTGGCTCAGATCTTCAGGCAGAAAATAGTATTGAATGGGAGAAAAAAGCCTAATGAATTGTAGCCTGAAAGTGAGTTCAGTGACAATTCAAAAGACATCTGAAAATGCCATGTAAATAGTCATATTTAATATGAGTGTCACCACAGAATCTGTAATAAGTGAAATGATTTCTCTTTTTTATTCTTGGGAATTCAAAGAAAGATGTTTATAGTGTTAGTTGAAATCTAAATCGTTCTTCATAGAAGCATAAAATCAAATCAGAAAATCTTGAAGTACTGCAACAAAGTTTGTTAAAAAAATTAATGCTATTTTTCCTAGAGGTGAAAAAAAAAAAAATAAACCACATATTTAATTGTTTAAAAAGAGTTTAAAGGTTATTTCATTTGACTGCAGCATCCAAAAATCTTTTCACCTTTATTCAAATTTTTGTACAGTGTACAATTCAGCATAGAATTAACATGTCCATTAAGTGTCTAGACTGAACTCAGTGAACGATGTCCTTTTATATGAGCAAAGTAGTAGTCAGTGCGGTCACTGGAGTTGAGAGCTGTTCAGCTGACCATTCATGGGTGTTTACTTTAGGATGAGCTGATTTGTTCTTACAGCTGTACTGCCTTTTCATGATTTACATTACATTATTCTTTTTTTTTTTTTTTACAAGATTTTTACAACAGTGAGAGCATAGACACCTAATCTTCAGGTGTCTGCATCTAAAACTGAATTTCCATGAAAGGAAACTTCAGCTGGTAGAGTCATACTGGTTGGCTATACCAGCAAAGCACTTCCAGAACTGACCACAGCTTGTATTTTCAAAATTCTCCTGCTTTGTCTGCTGAACTCCCAACACTTTCCCTGTAAAGTATGCTTTATTGTTAAAAACCACTTCACCAGCACAATTCTGTCGATGACTGTGATGCCAGCACTGTTGAGAGAGTTTTAATTTCACACTTGAGCTGTGAAAAGGTTTTAATTTTATAGCTTGACTGGAAACTTGGAAATATGTTTGACAACCTCAATTTTATTAAATAGTAACATTGAGTAACATGGAGTAGTGACTACTGCTCATAGTCATGCCAATGATTAGGTGTTTGGTGTCCACGCAAAGAAATTATGCCCCTTTATAAATTAGTTACATTCGTATTTGGTATTTATGTAATAATGATAGAAAACATTACTATTCTGGTTTTGCTGCTTTGCACATTCCTCCAGTTGGAGAATCAGCATCTGGAAAGGCATCGAGGAGTCTTGCCCAGCATATTCCAGGGCCTGGGGGTATTGAAGGTGTCAAAGGAGCAGCATCTGGTGTAGTTGGTGAACTAGCACGAGCCCGGTTGGCACTAGATGAAAGAGGACAGAAACTAGGAGAACTGGAAGAAAAAACTGCAGCTATGCTTTACAGTGCTGATTCTTTCTCTAAACACGCTCATGAGGTGAGTCTGTTACATGTTAAACTGAACATTAAACTGATTATCAAATAAATGCAAGTTTTGCGAATAACTGACTTCTGCAAAGGCATGTTAGAGGTATCTAAAGGGAATGCAATATCATTGATAAAGGATGCTTCCCTTTCATCTCTCAATCATTACTGCTAACAATTAAGTATTAATGTAAACAGCTTTGTCTTGTGGCAAGTTGGTCTAGAGCATACCACCTGCCTGAGGGGCATGTAGACTTTGAAAAGTGTGGCTCAATTCCTATTTCTTAAAGAATTTATCACTGAATTAGATAAGAAGAGTAATGCTCTGTGTAAGGTTCTTAAGATCCAATTGTTGTATGCAAACTCCATAAGTCCAAGTTAATTTTTTTCCTCAGTAACTACATAGGATGGCTGTTCTCTTCTGTGTTTATGCAGATCTCTTTCCATCCCCTGAAGTCCTGTGCAGCCTTCCCATTCTCCCTAAAAAAATGTCTTTTTCTAAGGCCAGATCATCAGTAGTGATAGTAGCATTACAAAGTCCATCATGCTAAACCCTCACTGTTCAGTAATGTTGTTGCAGTTTTGAGAAGCCTTACTGAAGTCTCTTTCTCATGCTGCGTTGTAAGCATATAATTTGTTTGTATCACTGTACTTTTTTGCTACATTATAGAAACAGTAATTACAAATTGGTTTTTGTTTTTTGTTTTTTTTTTAGATGATGTTGAAGTACAAAGACAAGAAGTGGTACCAATTCTGATGATGCTCACCAATTACATCTGCTTAATTTTGTCCTGATGAAAAAAATCTTTTTTCATTAATTTTGGCAGGACCATTGAAATTTAAAGGAGTATTCATCACTGGATACTGTTGTTTCCTAGCACAAATCACACACTGTTTTACCTCAGTCATGGCTTTAACTGAGGAGCTTTATATTTAAAAGAAGCACGTACAAAAAAAAAAACCAAACTTGAGTGTTTCTTAGCTGTTGGTTAGCTGAGAGTTGGAACAGGGAAGGTAACTAGAACATGTGGAGAAGAGGGTAAAGGGAAAACATAGTGCGAGATGGGCAGGGGCAATGCAGGGTCAATCCTGTGTTAATATTTCATATGCCAAAAGTTTTTGTGCTATTGTAATTGCTGCCAGTGTTATACCCTCCTGGGAGGAGAGGCAATAAATCAGGGGTCCAAGAGCTGAAATAAAGTTGTTTGTCTTGCTGGGCGGTAGCTGACTTACTCTTACCCCTCTCTAGGACTCACTATATTTACCATTATTGTTGAAGAAGAATTGAAGCTTGCTGTCACTTCTTTCATCGGAAAAGCTGGAAGCTTGGAAGATTTCTTGTTGAAAATTGTATACATAGTTGACCTGTGCATAGTCTTTTCTTGGACCCCTGATCTAGTATTCTTGTATTCACATCATATTATGTGAAGTGCAAAACAAGAGAATGCACAATTTTTGCATTAAAAAAGTCAAGTGAATATTATGACTGGAATGTGTCATGCTGGGAGTTTTCATTTGTGTTATGGCTGTGCAATGTGAAACGTGGTAACATCTCCATTGTGGTAAGAATACCTCAACTTCTGTTCAGTTAAACATTATTTTTTGCCAAAAATGGTTACTGGTTCAGTTTGTAGAACATTTAGAATTGGCTGTGGGTTCCCTTCATGCTGTGAAATTTTATAAATGTTTAACAGAATGTATCTTTACAGCCATTAATTAAAATAGCTGATAGTTTTATTTAAGTTCTAGTTGCCCCTTTAGTCCTTTACTATGAAATCGGATAATCTTGGACTCAGGTTTTCAGTTTCATACTCGGTGGAGGTGCTGATGCATGAATAATGGCAAGCATCTAATATTTAATAACTGTCAGTGTACTGTTTAGCAAATTTCTAAATCCTGCTAGTAGAGCTATTTTACAAGTACCTATCTCAGCCCCACCCAGCACCAAAGGCAGTTGGCCTAAAGTTTGGATTTAGTCTCTGAAGCCGTGTTTTCATTGTGGGCAGTGGTAAGTGTCCACTAAAACTTCAGGAATGGGTGAAATAATGTTCAGTTTGGGTATGGTAAATAATATAGCTGAGTTAACTTGTTAATAGCTGCTGCACTAAAGCTATAACAGTGGGAATGACCAGAGCTCTTTTAAAAAGAGAGGTTTCCTTAAAATAAATGTTGGCATTTCAGACATGTATTTCGACTTTTTTCCTCAAAGCAGGAGTAGTTACTGACAGATTTTGTTTTACAAAAGGGAGTACTTAGAAGGTAATAGGCCTACCTTATCTGAAATTAATCATTTGGGTTTGTTTTTCCAAGCATCATATTCTGCGTGGGTGTTTTGGCACACTTGATGAATGTTCCCAAAGCAAACCCTTGGTTATATTTGTATTGTAAAGTGACAGTGCAGGTACATAGGTAAGGAAACCTTTCAAAACACTTAAAAAAATGCAAAATATTGAAATTACTGATGGTTCTTAATTAGTTTTTCAAATGAAAGGCAAATGTGTTTGGCCTTTCCAGCACAAATTAGTAAATTTTCTGATTTTATGTATAGTAACATTTAATTTAGAAAGAAGTGAAATCTGTTGCCAGTATGAGGGCATGCCATACCACATCCACTGTTCAAAGAACTTAACAAATGAGAACATGACAATTTGAACAAGCAGCATTATGATTTCTTGATGGCTCTGTCCCATACCTACTGAGACAATGTTAATTCCAGTTACTTAACTCAGCTTGCCACACAATTTTTGCCTCTGCATGTTAATTTCTTTTTCACTGTATGATTAATGCATATTTAAATTAACACTATTTTGTTAAAAATCCAGGTAGAAGAAAACTAGATAAACTACTATCCACACCATTTCCAAAAATAAAACACCCTAGCTGACACTTGTCCCCTTCCTTATCTCACATTTATAAATTGAGATAACTGATTATTAATTGACCTGATGAAGATGAACTGCATTTCAGAGCAACAGAATCCTGGAAAATTAGTTTGGTCAGTCTCTGGGCAAGAGGATGGCAGAAGTACTTTTCAGCAAATCATGGTATCAGTTAACTGGAAGATGACTTTGGCTTGAAAGGAAAACATACTTGACTTTCTCATCAAGAAACATTTGACAACCACCAGCAAGCAAAAAAAAAAAAAAAAATAGGCAATGAGAAACCATCTGCCAGTACAAGAGTAGTAGTGGCTTATTTGGTATTATAGAATTTATCATAGTTGAATCTTTTTTCTGTTGCACATGTTCAGAGCGTTCTTCTAATGAAATGATTGCTCATGAGATGAATACACAAATGGTTCTTGGTCAATAAAAGGGGCTATGTACAATTTTAGTCTAAAACATTTCTTTTTCCTTCTCTGTGGAAGGAATTTGATCATACACACAGCATTGCATCTTACTCTGCTATTGGTGGTGCACCTTTTGTACAGCAAAGTATATTGAAATCCTTGGGGGAAGCACCCCTGTTTTTTCGCTAGCATTTTAGTTGTGTGAAACTTTTTTAGAGTGTCTGGAAATCTATAACATATAATTGAACTATTACTTTTCTGTTTTGTTTTGTTTTGATGGAAGTGTAAAAAACTGCTGCTAGCTATCTGTTTATATGTAGTATCTCCCATTAGGAACTGTAAATTGAAGAAGCTTTTCTTCACCTTAGTCCTGCCAAACTGTAACTTTTGAATGTTGATATGTGTAAATATGTGTGTATTCCAAATAAGTCTGAAAGTGTTACACCACAGGCATCTCCAGTGATTTGTTCTTCACCAAATGGTCAGCTATAAAATATAGTAATATATAGCTGTGTTCCTCATCTGTCTTTATGCAAAGATTTTTGCCTGAGGTGGTACTTGCATGGCAGGTGATGCTGGAAAGCTACATCCAAAGGAGGATTTTTGGAAGCAAGTTCATTTCCCTTTTTTCCTTTTTTGTTTTTGTTTTTTTGTTTGTTTCGGTGTGTTTTGATTTGTTTTTTGGCTTGCTTTTTTTTTTTTTTTTTTTTTGCTTAATTAATGGCACTGATCTTACCTGAACTTTTAAACTTGAATTTTTCCTGCACTTTAATTCAATCATGGTATTTTATTCCTTAATTTTGTTTCTACATTTGTGCAGTTCAGGTTCATTATTTGTATATAAACACACATGTTCAATAAAGACTTCAGAACAGATTACTTTCGGGCACATTTGCTAATTATGTGACTATCATTTAGAATGTGTGTTTTCTTAGCAAAATATGTATATACAAGTATATACGATATAGAATCTACTGAAAGGCACGTATCCTGTGTCAGCATTCAGTTTATAAATTTCTGCAACACTTTCAGATTTGTTACTAGATAATACAATAAAATCTGTTATATTTATACATACTGCTTAAGAATATACTTTTAGTTTTAAATAATTTTTATATGTACACTTCTACCTTTAATTTTAAAAAGACTTATGTTCAATTTTTAAGTCAAAGTACTTAAAGTATGTATATTATCCATAGAAGAAGTTGTTTTAAGCTTATGAATACATTCATATCTCATATCGAGATGATACAATTACTAAGCAATGAAAACAGCCCATTTTGCTTTGCAGAAAATAATCATACTTATTTTTATCTCCCACTTTGAACATTCTTAAACAACTCCCTAAGTATGGAGAGGGAATATAGTGCATTTGGAAAACTAACCTAACATAAAAGTTTTCTCAGTAGCTGCAGTCTGTGGCTGACTGGTTTTCTATGATTTTATTTCTTTTAGGTATACACATGAAAGACTTTTTTTCAGCTCTATTCCTCGGACTTCTAAAATTCCCCAAAATTGGAATGAGGTTTGTCCAATAAATACATTTTTTTGAGTAATGTATAAATCTTGATTACACATCAGCTCTTTACATGTAAATCAAGGGTGGATTTTTGTATGCTGAACATGTATTGGAAAGCTTACAGCCTGTGGCTGAAGTGCCCTCTTGTTTCACATCATGGTTTAATGTACCTGGGCTAGCAGGGATAGCAGCTGAAGTCCGGTGCGAGGGGAAGGGGTGCAGCGCCTCGCCTCCCACTCCGAGTTGCAGGGTAACTTGGCCATTGAACCTTTCCTCTTTCTAGCTAATTTCCTGTATAATTTATGTGAATCTTTTTTGGGTGGATGTTGATAGCTTTGCTACTACCATAAAATCTTCAAATACTTTGTAGACAGAAATTATGTTTGAGGGAAAGAAGGAAATAAAACAGAAAAAAGATGTGTAGTGTAGGCGAATCAGCTAAACCTATTTTATTTCAGTTTTCATTGAAAAGCTAAGTTAAGCTGGGCCAATTTCTTATTATTATGCATGTTATAAAGATGTGCTGTGTATCATCTACTTTATTACCATTTCAAGCCAGATGAGTGTACTGTGTTTCTGGGTTCTTTTACATTTTATAAAGTTTAGGCTTAAAGATGTGGGCATTCATTTTTAAAACAAAACAAAAAACAAAAAACAAAAAACAAAAAAAAAAAAAAAAAAAAAAAAAAAAAAAAGAAAAAGAAAGAAGGCAGAAACATAGAACAGTCAAGTGAAAGGTGTCAATCAGTATTCCTTTTACTTTTCCATGTAAAGCACCTAGAAATGTATCAGTCCTCTACAGCTATAGGTTATTTTGACACTTGTGTTTCTTTTTGTTAGTACCTAAGCTACATATTACCAGGCAAATAACTAGAAGTTAAACTGTTTCAGTTGAAAACATGTAAGGAGTTGTATGTGGATTACCACTACCATTCAGTAATAGGTGATGTAAAGGGAGAGAGGTGGGAACATGTTTTAAATATTCCCTTTTAAACCAGAATTGTAAATAAGCAGTACTGTGTTATTTTAGACCTGAGCTCTGCTATTTGTAGTGGTTAGAACTAGGAAAACATGCTGCTTTCTAGTTATGCTACTGTTTCATTGTACCAGCACCATGGGGGAAAAATAAAAAAAAAAAAAAAAAATCAGTAAGTTTTTCTAACATTGCCCACTTGCGGGTAAGCATGCTTGATGTGTAGCAGTTCTCGTTTATGTATATCTTAGTGTGTACATGTGTGTTTTCTTTTTTCTTTTTGTTCATTGCAACTTATTCTTCAGTTAAGTCTTGCTGAGCCCCACTAGCTCTTCTGAGGGTGATTACTGGAATGTGCATTTTAGGTAGGGTTGCAAATCCATCTGTCTACAAATATAGTTTCATATGAACTGCAAACTGTACTGTTACAAACACAACAATGTTAGATTGCATAGAGTTATTTTACTTACATGTACTTGAACTGAACTATGTCATCATAACAAAGTTAAAAAATTAAGTATGGAATATTTTTGTAAATAAAAATACCTGTGCAGCTGGTATTTTAAATTTAAAATGTATTATACATTAATGTTTCAGAAAAAATGTTCATATATGTGTATATGAATGTGTCATTATGCTGAAGGGCTCTTGATTGGGCAAAATAAACTATTCAAATCTCTCCTGAAACTGAGTGGAGCTTACTCCTTTTCTTCCTAACTAGTTCTTTTCCTGTTGGCTGGAGCATGCAGTGACTCCTTGCCAAAAGAGGCTGTTTCATTTTGCTTAAGTTTTTGTGAGATGCGCTCTGTACTGAGCGGAGCAGTGTGTGCTTCAAGCACCAGCAGTTGGGCTGATACCAAGTAGCCCCTAAGGAGCACAAAATGCGAGGTGGTTTGTCAGTGGTGATATCCCCAATCAGGTCTACAAGCAGTCCGAAACACACACCTCGATGGTGAGGATGTGAAGTCCTATTATCCTTATAAGCTAACGGAAAAGTTAAGGTCAATCTTTTTACAGACTCAGTAAGGCAAAATATTTTCTGTAGCTGGATTTTGACAGTGTTCATTAATCTAAGAATCTGGGGTGGGTGGGGAAGAGATGAAGCTGATTTTTATTTTTTTGCCATATTTACAGCATAGCAGATGTATTATTTTCATTGGTTGAGGCTCAGCTTTGCCACAGTCCAATTTCTAGTTTGCAGTCTAAATTTTCTGTTGTCTTCTGTTGGGGAGAGGAGAGGGAGCTGTGTGGAAAAAAACAAAACAAAACACCTTTGTAAACATGCTCTGTATGATGCAGAAGTACCGAGTCTGAAGAGAGGCTGGGGCAGTAATTCTGAGAAGTTAAATTGCTGCACCTCAGTGAAATTTTTGTAATCTTATGATGCCAAATAGTAAAATATTTCAGTACTGGTTGTTTTAGCATGTGATTGATATAGTGAGGATGCAGTTTCATCTGTGCAAAAAGTCTGATGGTTCCAGAATTATTCTGTCTTCCTGGGGTCGGTTGTTTTTTTTTTTTTTTTTTTTTTACTCTCTAATATCTGATAGTTCAGAATTACGAACTTTAAGCTCTGCAGCACATGGAATTATAAGAGGAGAATGTGCTAGAATAAAAATTTGTTTTACCTTCAATTTAATTGGACTGAAGTTATTTGGAGCTATCGCTGCTCTCAGCCATTCGCTAGCTCTGGTAACCTCTGCCATCACCAGTAACACAAGAATAGCAGCTCCCTCCCTGTGGGGACCGTGGGGCTGCACGCAGCACCAGTGGACTGACAGGAGAGGACTGTCAAGGCTGAGGTTGCAAAGTGAAGCACTTGGATTTAGTGAAAGTCAGGATTTGGTGAGACCTACATAAAACTTGGTCTCTTTGCACATCATGTGTTAACAGTAGTTCCAGTGCCAACATGCTATAAATTAAATGCATCTAAGACCTATGGACACATGATAGCATGCCTGTTAGTATTAAACTGTGTCACCCTCCAAAAGTTTTCCTTATCCAGATACTTTACTGGGAATGGTTCCTGGGCAGAGGCTGAGAAGCCCGGTAAGGACATGGCAGTGGGCAACCAAGGCCCAGTACAGAAGGACTGGAAATCGGGCAGTGTTAAGGCCCGAGCACAGACACAGGGACCAGGCTTGTGTCCCATCTCTCCTAGGCGTTCTTTTCATCCAGGCTGGGTCACGGAACCAGCTCCTCCGTGTTGCTCATTGGCTGGTGGGTGCTCAGTGGCATCCTAACCCTGATCTCACTTGTTCCCTCCTCTGGCCCTGGTGCACCTGAGCTGTGGGTTGGCCAAGCAGGAGGCACCGGCTCTTTCCTCTCCCTTAGGAGAGAAGGCAGCAGCCTTGCTGGAGGCATCCCGGTCTGGCCTGAGGAAATAGGATGTTTTCTGTCAGTCTTGCGCTGAGATAATCCCACTAGAGCAGAATGTCGGCAAACACGTTTCTCACCTGCTAGTTTGCTGGCTGGTTTTCCATAATGCACAATTAATGCTCCCTTAAAAAGGGCTTGAGGGCTTGCATATGTAGCTCATTATAGTAGCAGAGTTCTGCTCAGTTGATGTAGCAAACAGTTTTCTGTATTTTTCAGCCACAGGAGACAACCTGGGCTGAGGCTTGTGTCCAGGCTGCTTGGGAAGGAGGGAGCTGTACCCCCTGGTTGGCTGAGACCTAGGGAGCACTCCTTTAGCTTCAAACACTCATTTAGAGCTGTTTGACTCCAAAACTACTCAGAAGGGGCAATGGAGAACTGTAGCAAAGCCACAGTCAGGACAAAAATGGGAAGATTGATGTGTTTTGGAGCAGATAACAGCATTTCTGCATTTTGCTGCAGTCACAGCATGACCATGCCTTTAGAGAGTTGATCATTTGAAGGGGTTTGCAATCAAAATGTCAAACTATCCTTATGTTTTGATAAGTTTAGCAACTCCTCTGCCTAATTAAGCAGACATAATGATAAATTTTATATAACTGATTTCTGTGGCATAAGAGAATCCTGGGAAGTATAATGTGGAATGCAGTCTCCTGTGTGGGAGTGAACAAAAACCAGTTTCAAGCTGGTATCTCCTAATTCTCTTGGGTACCTGTAAGTGTCTTAACACCACCTCTGTAAGTACCTTTTATCTGAATATAAGAGTGTCACCTATGGACTATGGTGGTTTTTCTTCTGGGATCTCAAAGCACATAGTACAGTGGGCCAAACCCTCAAAAGGCTTCTTTTCATTATAGTTACTGTCTTCAGAGTGTGTACCTGCCTGTCATTCAAGATGTATATCACAACTTAATACTAATTCATACAAGGAAGGACATATTTTTTAAATCCAACTCCTGTGAAAGGGTTAGACAAACTTCAATTAAAAAAAAAAAAACCCAAACCACCTCATCAAGTCACGGTCACTGTAACAGGTTTTCTCTTTAATATGCTCAGAGTCAATTCTAGCAGTGAACTTAGGAGGCCCCTACTTCCCATTTTGTCTTTAAGCACAGCAGTTTCTGATTGGATTTTAGAGTTTCCAGCATCTCTTGAAAAAAATCTGTGAAGTGCCTGGGAAGATAGAAATTAATTTTTCTTTGCTACTGTTACAGTTAAACCCCTCTAGAAAACTTTTTTTTAAAACATTTTCAAATGTAATTTGTTGCCAGAGCAGGATCCATGGAAGCTGCATTGATCTCTGGAGCTTTCCTTCAGTTTTAAAAGGCCAGTAGTTGGTTTGGTGATAAATGTCCAACATGCAATTGCCTCTTCTTCTTGTTAGAATTCTTCTGGAAGCAGCTGCTTCTTCTCCAGTTCAGTCATGCTGCGTGCACCAGTTTCAGCAAGTGGTTTGTGGGCTGTCATCACCAATGCAAACTTTCTCTTCCTGTAAGTAAAGGATAACTGAAAAACACCTAAACATTGCTGGCTAGGAGGCTCTGTTACCAGTATCACAACCACTTGAATTTAGCAGGTTATTCCCTAAGGGACAACCAAAAATCTTTCCCTACAGCTCTGCAGGGCACAGTGCAATGCCTCGGGCCTCTTACCATGTCAGAGTAATACCACGGAGTATTTCACCTGAGGCTTTTCACCATCTCATTGCATTTCAACACTGGGAATGTGAATGGCTGTCAGTCTGAAGTGCATGCATAGTTTACTGAGGGCTTTAATACAAAGCTTCAAGCAAAAAATAGATGTGGTCTTCCAAAACAAAAACAGTGACAGGGATTGGCCATATACCACATCCTGGAGAGCCAATTTCAAGCTTGAAAACCATGCTCCTTGTGAGTTAACCTGGGGAAAAAGGAAGGCTGATGTGAATAATGGCTGCTTGCCATAGTCTTCCATCAGACTGATGGCAAGCAATAACCTAAAATTTCTCCTGTACTTGTGGAAAGGAATTTCTTTACATTTGAAACTGTAAGGTTGTGATTTGCTCTTGGTCAGAGTGTGATCTGAGTGTATTGCTATATCACTGAGTCCTACTCATGGTCTACTACCTTATTATTACAGACAGTGTAAAAGTATGGAAAAAAATGTTGATCTGAGTCTGGCCTCGTAGACTTCATCCTGGTAAAAGAACGACTGATGTAGATACGAGAAGCGAGGGGGCAGAAACAAGGAGACAAGGTTTGGCTGAGCCGGTTGGCACACCACCGGTTCTCTTGCCACATTTTTGCAGCCATTGTGGCAAATAAAAACTTTTAAGGGTGCTTTTAAAATGAGGAAAAGTGGTTGTTTTGTCCCTTACAGAGTTGCTCCCTGACATAAACAACAGGGTGGAAAAAGTGAAGTGGGACTGTTTGAAAAATCTAGCCAGGATTGATACTGTTTGGCATAGTTCACCAATCATGAGAGATCTGGCATCCCACTAACAGACCATTGATAGCTGTGGAGGGGACAGGGCGGTGAGAAAGCAATAAACATGCAGACAGACTGCTTGTGTTTGCTGCTGTCAAGAAGGGGGAAGCGAAGGGAAGGCAGTGCAGGGGGAGGTAAGAAGCACGACACAGCAGTCTTTGAAATGATCTTTGTGGCTGTGTTGTGCAGGATGGCGTTCAGCAGAACCGGAGGAAAGGATCGAAATACGCACTGATGTGAAGCTTTGTCGTGTGGATGTATAGGACAGGCTTTGCTTTAGAAGAGATGCACAAAAAAGGGCCTGTGAGGCAGCTGGCAGCCCCATCGCCAGCACCTGGGGAGAGTAGCTGGAAATGATGCCTGAGGAGACACCTGCTTGACCAGAGGACCCAACCATTGCTGTGCATACAGACAACACCAGATATGGGCCACGGGTTTCCAAACACAGTCACATTTGGACCAGCACCGTGGCTGGTGATAGCCCAGGAGTCACGGCCCCCAGTTTGTCTGGCAGCCAGGGCGAGGAGAGCACTGACCCCAGGGCTCTTCTGCTAACAGTGAGGAAACTGAAAGCAGGAGTCTGACATTGCTGCCTCCCCCCTAGCATCCAGGCTAGGATCTCTGTCCTCCTCAAAGTGATACAATGGGCTTCTTGCCATTCACAGTTGGTAGGAAGTGACTCAGGGACCCCTCGTGTGGTCCTATTGGCTGCTCCGGCGCTGACACTGGGGATTTCATCCCTGAAGTTTTCCAAGGTGGCTCTGAACCAAACACAGAAAGACAGGGCTTCTTTAGCAGCGAAGGTGAAAACTAATCAGGCTTTGATTTTATAAATCTTTTTCTTT